TTTTTTTTTTTTTTTACAAAAATTAAAATGAAGAATCAAAGATGGTCAATACAAAATCTCGTGTATGAACATTTAGTGAAACTAAAAAAGCATACAATAATAAAATAAAAATTCAAATAATAACATTCACAAGAATTGGTACTTTAATGTTACCAATACATGTGACCAGATAGAAATCTATTTAAGATCTTGCACCAAAACAGTTGCTAAGCTTTCTCCTAAACAACCTGGCTAATGCACATAAAAAAAACTTTAACTACAAGAACTGAACAGTGGCACATTTGCAATTACAGTTGGCTGTATGAGAATCCAATATAGGTGTGATCCCAATAAAAAGTATACCAAGATTATATAATTAGAAACTCAGATAACAAAAAATGTTTGAATTGATCATGTTTCCTTTGAAGATATTTCAACAATGTTAAAGAAAAAGAAAGTGCCCTTACATTGTGTCCTTCTTTTACGGAAATCTGGAGTGCCTCTTTTAAAGGTGTATTTGCATCGGAACTCTGATATCCAAGGATGTGAGCACAAGCATCATAAAATCCTTTCAATTTAGAAGAATCCAATTGACAAAAAACAGGGTCTTTTATCTAAAGAGAAGTTGAAATTAGAATTTTCCTTAGAAATGCTGAAATAGTTATTCAATTGTGTATAAAATTAAAGTCATTTTCAATATCTGAAAAATAGTTAATTAAAAATATATGATTATAAATTAAATATAAATATCAAATCATACAAAAAACACATCATGTGGTGCCAAAAAGTGTAAAAATACTATGCAAAATAAGGGGATTCTCATTCTTTCCCTGCTTCATTATTGTGGCCTACATACAATTATTTTTACCAAGAAAAGTTTAAAACAAAGATAATTTGAGTAATAAAAAATGACAAAAAATATTTTTATTAAAGTTCAGAAAAATTAAAATAAATGATTTATATATGTAGCATTGAGTTTCGATGATGAATATAAAGAAATGAATAAAAATTCTTTCAGGAAATGTAAATGTAGAATTTTCCTGTTGCATTAACAGGAAACATTATATTAACATTAGAATTCACTGTATTAACATTGACAGTAGCTTTCATTTATGTCAGATTATTTGCCAGTGATTTATGGGAAAATATAATGCTCCACTAATTTCCTCAAACTGTAAATGCATTGCCGAAATTAAATATTTAAATTAAATTTTTCTAGAGTAGAAACTGCTCTCAGAAAAAATAATATCCAACTATAATTAATCAAATATAAATTTATATAACTTATGCAGCATGTTTAACTCTGAGACAATACTTTTTTTTTTTCTATTCTGAATAACACTGAGATGGATTGATTGATAGAATGACAAAAGTAACGATATTATTGGCTTTTTTTTAATTCATAGAAACCTACCTTTGGATACATTTCTGATGCTCTGATAAAATGCTTGCTTGCATTTCTATACTTTTCATGGAAAAAATAATATCTCCCCAAATCGAATGAAATCTAGAAAAAAAAAATTTAAATTATGTAAAGAATTTATGTCTACAAAATAACAGAATGTTAATAAATAATTAAAAAGAACATAATTTTTACTCTTAATTTAAATTTAATTAAAAGATTTAAAACAAAATATTATGTCAAATAAAAATTATTTAGATATAAGAATCTAAATAATTCATTTCTAATAATTCATAATAATTGACTTAATTTTTATGATACAAACTGTTCAGCAATTTTTGGACCTAGTTTATTCTACTCTCAGAGGTGCCAACTATTACAATTTATTTGTTATTATTACGATTTCATATATAAGATTAAGATTTCATTTTGTTACTTTTNTTTATCGTGAAATTTCAATGCTTTATAAACAATGAAATAGAAATGAATAACTCTGTATCAATTTATCATAACAATCACACCTTTCAAAAACTATTTTTAATATGTTATATGCAATTAATTTCACATTTCCTCTCATCGTATTTTCGTTACATATATGAGTTTTTTTTTTAAAATTAAAAAAAACTAAAAAAAAAAAAAAAAAATATGAAATTATGTCTACAAAATAACAGAATGTTAATAAAGAACATAATTATTACTTTTAATTTAAATTTTATTAAAAGATTTAAAACAAAAAAAATCATGATGTAAGAATCTAAATAATTCATTTCTAATAATTCATAATAATTGCCTCAATTTTTATGATACAAACTGTTAAGTAATTTTTGGACCTAGTTTATTCTACTCTCAGAGGTGGCAACTATTACGATTCATCTGTTATTATTACGATTTCATATTTAAGATTATGATTTCATTTTGTTATTTTTGAGATAACAATTTTACAGTAGAATAAAAAAAAATTTAAGTCCAACTGAGTTCTAAACATTTATTTAAAATAAAATTAACAGAGATGCTTGTTTTAGAAACAAATAAATGTCTTTGATTAATACACTTAATATACTGAATATTAGGAATCATGAAATTCAAGGCAAGTATTATAAAAATACCATGTTAATTACTTTGGGAAAATACAAAGTCAATATCACTATAAACAATCACATAGCAGAAAAGTTAAAAGCAGCAAAGAAGAAATAGAAAGAATTTTTGCTAACTTTTTCCTGTATCAACTAAATGTTAATTCTCCAGAAGCACTGAACTTATTGCATTTTCTTGAAATATACATGCATATATACTGCAATATGGCAATTACAAACTTTGAAAGAGGTAGGGATCATAAAATTTGAAAATTGCATGGCAACCCATGGTCAGAAATGTTCTTTTTCTGTAAACAAGCCTGTGCCTGCCAAATTTCTAGTACATGCAAGCAGTTCCAAAAAACACTTTGGTAAAAGAATTAAATGAACTCAGTGTTCCTTAATAATTGCTGCACTTTATCCTGTACCAGTTTATTCCATAAACACACCAGCATGTTCCTAACATTTATAGAATAGAAACTTAAAATGTATTTTAAAAGTACCCACCTTAAAGCAATATTACAAAAACAAGAATAGAAACTGAAAAAATTTATTTAATTGGCCAAGTAACCATTAACTGAATTAAATAAGATAATACGACAAGACTACTACATAGTATTATAAATATGAAAGTTTTTGACAGTATAACTGATCTAGGAATCCTCTGTTTCATTGAATAAACTTAAACTTCACAATAATTAATTAGTGAATGACCCTTAATAAACCACATTTAAATCCCAAAATGTCAGCACTTTACATAATACCTTTATTAATCTATGAGTTTAAAGTTTAATTTTATTAGTCTTATGCATTTTGAAAAATTTTAGGCAGAGTGGTTAGTATTTTACAATTCAGAAATATAATAAAAATTGGGAAAAAGATTAAAAAAATTTGAAAAAAAGCAGATGAAAAATGTTTTGTCTGTAAAGTGTTATCATATTAAAAATATCATTTAATTAATAACTTTACTCAGTTCAAAGTTACTAGCATTAAAGCTATTCATAAAGATGTAGAAACTGAATATTATACAACGTTATACACCCTAAACTTCTATTGTAATGTACTTTGTTTTCTCTAAAAAAAAAAAAATTGTTTTAGCTTTTATGATTTGCAGTTCATGTTGCAGATTAATCTTAATTTTACTATATCTCATAACAATTCAGTGCATTAAAAAGACATTACATCCAAATGTTAAAAACTAGCAAACTCCAAACCAGTCTGAATAGCAAAGCTTTTATTCATAATAAAAAAAATTTATGTAAACCTATTTTAAAAAATACAACTACTGACTGTTGATTAAAACTTAAAATATTAATTTCCAAGTATTTATTATAGCCCAGGTAACGTTTAATGGTATGTTAGCATGAATTAAGCACAAAATTTAAATAAGCAATGGATTTTTTGCAAAGGATTGGATATAAACAATAGCTAAATAACATTGTACAGCACTAATTTTAAAGTAAAGACTCATAAATGTATATACTCAAAGCGAGAAATTGATTTTCGACAGGAGTTCTAATAAATTTACAAATTATAATGCAATGCAAATATAGTAATGAATTAAATGAACAATAGTATGAAGATAATATAAAGGAAATAGTCTTTCTGAATGAATAAAAAAGCTGACAGTTATGCAATTTAGAATTGTGAAGTTACCTGGCAAATAACATCTTCTTTTCTCAGGACCAGACCCTGCTCCCACTTGTGGTCAGGACTTGGACATTCTTCAGATAAAGCACCAAAGCAATGATAGAGGGGCATGCGTACTGGACTCTCCATTTCTAAGTAGGTTTCCAATATACTGCAGCATCTTTCAGCTTCTTCATTCAACTGTAAACAAAATAAAACAAACGCTGTGAAATAATTTAGAGGTACACAATATAAATTTTAATAGCTGTGGGCATTGCACAATGTTATATTTATGGTAGGTTGTATAGTGCACAAAAAAAGGACCACCTTGAATAACGTTTGATTTAATTATCTGATCTTCAAGTTCTAGGACTCAATCCTAATGGCTCGAATGGGTGACCACAAATATGATAATTAATAAGTGCAGACGACATATTAAAGTATGAAATCAGACGTACTTTCTCTGAATAAACATACCTTTTTTTCAATTGATTCGGATTTTTGACCCTAAAATATTATCGTAATCTGGGAAATATGATTCCAATAGTTTGGTCAGAAGAGCAGTCCAAAGTTTTGACCCCTTTATGTTGATTTTATCTTTTTGCGCATTTCATTATATCTCAAATTTTTTTTAAGTGAATTGAAAATTTTTTGCACACAATTATAAAATGTGTTTTTCAAAAGATAATTCTATGCAAAAAATAACCTTGATTAAATATTTATCATCTTTTACTATTTTATTTAAAAAATGGTGGAATTTTTTTTTTTTAATTGTAAGGTATGCAATTTTTTGCATCATTTTAAAGAATATAATTTTACAAGGCAAAAAAAAAAAATAATAATCGGTTCAATAGTTCCCAAGAAATTTAATTTTAAAAAAAAGTCAGATATTTGATTTCTAGGGAACTATTCAACCAATTTTGTTCAAATTAGTATTTTGCCATGTAAAATTATTTTTTTTTTAAATGATGAAAAAAATTGTACACCTTACAATTCAAATTGTTTTTAACCATTATGAAATAAAACATTAAAAAATGACAAATATTAAATTTAAAATAAAATTGATATTAAAATTTTGCATGGAAATATCTTTGGACAAACTAATTTTATAATTGTGTGTAAAAAATTTTCAATTCTCTTAAAAAGTTTTTGAGATATAGTGAAATACGCAAAATGTAAAATCTACATTAAGGGGTCAAAACTTGGGACAGCTCTCATGACTAAACTATTTGGATCATATTTCCCAGATTGTGGGTAAACCCTATATTTTGGTTATTATTTATTAATTAACATATTTAAAGTTAACCCCTTGAACTAATAAGGTTGAGCCCTAGAACATGAAGATCTCATCATTAGGTCAAAAGTTATTCAGGGAGGTTCACTTTTTTTCATACTGTACACCTGTAAATAAGAAACAGTTAGTTGAATAACAAAGCTCACTTCATTATTTAGCAGCAATATTTGATTTAATTCTTAAGTAATAAGTTGAGCAAAAAATATTTTGATAGGGAATTTTTTTATTACTTTTTCATTTTTAGAGAATTTTATAAAATATGCAAAAACTAGAGTCACCAACTGTTATACAACTTTTAAACTAAATAGTTTAAGTAGTAACGCATCACAATTAGAAAAATAAGAGACATCTGACAGAGAAAATTGGAAGGAAATACGGGCAATATTAATTTTACAGACAACATCAGATAATATTAAATTTTTCAGACTCAGTAGTAAAACAGAGTTAAGAAGACTTTATCACCATCAAATCAAAGCTTGTTGGCTCCTTTAGAGCTCACAAAACCATTTTGCCTTGGAGATGAACAGCTGAAAGATTGTAAGAAACAGAACAAGAGAGAAATCTAGAAAACCAGTCTGAGTGACTGTAGCATTTACATCAAATAATAATTTACATAATATCCATGTTACAATAATTGCATTAAAATAAATGGCAAATAATTTACTAACAAATTCCTAGAAATACAAATTCATAAATATGAAAAAGAAATTAAAAACTTGCCATACAATTTTCAGTGCCAATGATGTTCAATTAATTATGGTAATAAGAGCTAATTGAAATAAAGAAAAGTAGGCTATGTATCAAAAAGTAAAATTAATGGAGAAATGACACTAATTTGCTTAAAAGAAACATACAAAATCACCATACTGTTATTAAAGCCATTGATACTAATATTTTTTGTAATTAGCACTATTAGTAATATGATAATTGGTGCAGTTTTAATAGGTATTAAATATATTAATACAGGTGTAATGTACTATATTAGTATATTTTGGTACCTATTAAAACAGCATCAATACTGGGTATCTTTAATATAAATATTGTGGGAAGATTTTTTTTTTTTCATAGCCTCTCAAAAGGGATAAGTACAGGAAAAAATACTTGTTTGTGAAAAATTTTGATCTTGAGTTTGTCTTGAGCAACAGCACTATATCAAATGATACTCAATAGTTAATTTTCATTTTGATGGGATGAACTAATAAAAACATATTTTGCTGAATCTAATAACGTAAAATCATTGGGAAAATCAACAAATAATAATAAGTAAGAATTGGTTTTATTAATTGTGTTGCTATATATCTTTAAATTTTGTACATGATTTTGCAGTGTTCTTCAGTACTGATTTATTGATTGTTTACCATTTTTTTACACCTTACAAAGAATGGGCATTCAGCTAGTAGAAATATAAAACAATGCAATAAAAAGAAATTTTCAAAAAAGAGAAGTTTATACCTTTCTTAAAATTGAGTCGATTACTGCTGAAGATAAAATTGAAGGATCAATCTGTCCAGGGCTGAAAATGAAATTTAATGATTAAATATTTTGTCACAATTTTAATGTATACGAAAAGAGAAGAAAAAAAAAAGAAAATTAGTTTAAACTTGCTACAGTATAAAAATAAATATCAGCATTTTTATGTGACTCTGCATAAAATGATGTCACAAATAGAAACTCTATATATTAAGACTGTTAGCACGTTTTAGAAACTTTATAATCAAAACATTATAGTTTTTAATAAATACGAAAAGCAAATTCAAAATACAATAAAAATCCAGGCAACCATTTACAACCATTATTTCCAGGACTCTTTCAAGAAAATTTCAATAAAATGCAAATTACATTTTAACTTTAAAACACCATTTCTATTATTTGATATCAAATAAAATGTAGTTTTTAAATAAAAATATTTGCCTAACAAAAAGTTTGTTAGAAACAGATTAAAACCAAATGAATTATATATCTGGTAATATAAAGATTTTCTAGAGATTTCATTGTAGATGTTAGGATTATTTAATATGAATCCCAATTGCTGTCACCCCTTTAGTTTTAAGATTGGCCATTTTCTACATTTTATATAGGAATTTCTAGTTTTTGTGCAAAATAAAACTCTAACAATGTGAAAATTGACATTGAAAATTTACATTAACAATACTTTTTTATTAGTTTTAAAACCATCATTATAACTGTTTCTTGGGGTGCACCCAAATAACACTATTTCTAAAACTTTTAAGCAAAATGAACGTGTCAAATGTAATGTTTTAAGTGAGCAGTTTTGACAAATAAAATATTCCAATACTGATAGAGAAGCAAAAGCTGTTACCCTAGTAATGAGTCAAAGCTTTAGCTTTCAAAAATGTATAGTATGGTATAATATAAAACATATTATTTAAGTTATTTAAATATAATTAAAACAATAAATGTTTAACTTTCTTTTTCAACAAAACTTTAGCCTTAGAAATAGATCAATAATGCTGCCAGTATTAGTAAGCATTTTCTTGATTAAAGATAAATCTTTCATGCAAAAGTATCAGAATCAAAATTTATATGTAAAAATAAAAAAAACAATAAAAAAATAATCGAAGAAAAATATACAATGGTTAAAATTTAGCAGAATGAAGCAAATTACTTCTTACAAGATTTTAAAATGAACAATCATAAAAGAAGTTTTTCCATTTGAAAATAAAAATGTGTCCTATTTTCTTGTTGCATAAATTATGATTGTTACATATTAATATGTTTAGCCCACTCTCTTTTTGGAAATTTTTATTCTTAATTTTACCAAATACATAAAAAAAACATGTTTTTAAAGGTTTTTCTGTAATTATACAAGTTTTAGCTAAGACTAGTGTAGCTATATAACCTGTTGAGATAAATAATGGTATATAGCATAAAAATATTAATATTTAGAATGCTTACTTACAGTTGCACATTTATTCCTTTCTGGTTTTTTTGAGGAAAGCTACCATCAATGACAGCTCTTAGCACCCTACAAAACAATGATAATCAAGAGAATTAACAATGAGGTATATTGTAAAACTCATAAATGCATAATATTAAAGTTGAAATTCATCAGCTGCATAAGTATATAATGATTGATAATAAATTATGTTAGGCTTAAAGGGGAAAAAAAGTATAGTACAGCATTCTTGCAGCAGCTCATGTGGGACAAGGATGTTAAAGCTCCACAATTTTGTTAAAAAATAGTATAAGTGCAGCGATGTTTTCAACCGCTTTTACTTCCTGGACAAGTTGGTACCTAGCAATATGAAGGTGAGCAGGCTTCTCAATGCCACTGACAGTTCAAGCACAGCCATTCACCAAAGAACTTCAGTGCCTACATACACTCACAATTTGTCGATCAGAAAGACAACAAATCGCCATTAATAAAATCAGAGGATTCAGACACTTTTTTAAAAACAAATCAATGAAACACAAAATTATTCAAATACTGAAACACAATAAAATCAATGTAACCACTTTCTAAAAACAAATTTTCGAAGATATATTCCACAAATAAAAACATAAATTTCGAGTGGTTTCTTGTCTGATTACACCTTTTTTTGATTTTTTGGTTTCTACAATGCTATTTACTTACAGGGTGACCTGAAAAAAAGTATTGCAACTGCAATATCCCAAAAACAAGTGTACATAATTCACTCAAACTTTAGGAATAAACATTAATTACAACCAAATTCGCTATGCAATTGCAGTAATTTTTTTTCATGCATTTTTTCCATCACTTTCAGAATTGTGTAATTACACTGGGTTATATGGATCCCTGAGGAAAGGTCATCAACTGCCGTTTTATTTTGCTGACTTAATCCGTAAGACTGATTTCTGTAGGGAAATCTTCAAGACAAAAAGTATTTGAAGAATCCCAAAATGGTTTCTGAGTTGAAGTGTGTAATTTAAAAACAAATTGAGCTCATTGACGTACCAACACTGGGCTGTGTAAAGCGACATTCTGCTTCAGTTACGTCACTGCACGCTATGTCAGACATACCATCCTAGTGATTTAATAATTTTAGAATATTTATCTTTTTTCTGTAATTGGAACGAAATATATTTCTTCATCCTTTTCTCTCATTCCATTTTATTTTTGGGGCATTTTTCTCTCGTCACCATAAATCTAACAAAATTTACTTGATAACAATCAGAAATTAGGTGAGGTGTATTGAATTCTATAAAATATAGACACATGGATTTTAATACTCTTGTCTGACTCAGAATTAAATAATTTTGAAAATCAACAAAATAAATAATTCTAAAAAAATTCAAGAATTAAAAAAAAAAAAGAGTTCTAAACAAATTATTCTAAATTAAAAAACTTTTTTCAGGCTCCATATTTTTAATTCTGTAACGACTATTTAGAATTACCTAATTAAATTTTCAATAAAAAACAACATGAGAAAAAAAGTTAATAAAAGTTAATAAGTGATAATAAATGATTTTAGGATTAAAGGGCAAAAAATGCATAGTACAGCATTCTTGTAGCAGCTCATGTGGGACAAAGATGTTAAAGCTACACAATTTTGTTGAAAAATAGTATGAGTGCAGTGATGTTTTCAACCGCTTTTACTTCCTGGGCAAGTTGGTACACGTGATCTATAAACATGTGACGAGAGACATGTGATCTATAAACATTCACACACATTTTCGTACACCAATTATTATATTCTTATGGTTAAGAAAAACTTAACTTAGGCAAAGCAAAAATCTTAAATAAAGAATAAATGCTTGAATAAAGGGAATAAATGCAAAAATAATTGTAAATTTTCAATTGCAGGGGTCTGTCTAGATTTTTCTGAGAGATACCTATTTTGAGAAAATTTAGACATAATTTGAGAAAATTAAAAATTATATTAAAAATCAACACAAAAAGAGTGATTTATCGTTTCTTATGGAATACAAAAATAAAATTTTACGAAAAAGTATTTTGTGAAACTACCTTTTTTCCAAAAGTTTAATTTGTGAAGGTACCGCTAATAGTAAATTTGGCCTGGACAGATCCCTGAATTGTAAATTGAAGTATACATTACAAAGTTAAGTAAACTCACCAAGAGTTGTATAAAATGCAAGCAAACAAAGCATCTGCAGACATATCCCTTGTTATAGTATTATTAATATTAGAATCAATGCTAGAGATCTTCAGAAGTTCAGTCAAAAGAGCTTGCTGCATAGTTAGTGGCAATCTGTAAAATAAAAAGATGAAGTAAACCTTTCATACCTAGTATTTAGAGAAAAAAATAATAAATACAGTAAACATGATAACAAAGAAGAAATCCAAATTATTCATTATAAATTTTTAGAATAAATTGGTTTCTTTCCCCAATAAATTAACAGAAGAAACTCAAGAAATTTTTAAAAAATAATAAATAAAAACGAATGGAATATGTTAGTAGAAGGAAAACTTGAAACTTTTATAAAAATTATATACTATTTAAAAGTGCAAAATTATGTGTGCATTATCTTTAAATCATTCTGATCTGAAGAGACTTTTTGAATCAGATCAAACATATTATATAAATTTTTCAGGAATTCCACAATTAAAGAATTCAGAAAACCTTGAGGGTATTAAAGTACTTTTTTATACAAAAACGAAAAAAATTAAGCACATTAAAAACAGAATTAAGAGCATTAAGAACTATTTGATGATTAAGATTATGAGAAATTAAAGATAGTCAAATCTCCATAACTATTGCCTATTTATAGTTCTCTCTAATTAATGATTTATTACGATTAATTGCAGAGCAAAATTTGTCAGGATTTCTCAATTGCTTTTTTTATTAAAAAAAATAAATTGTGACAGATGTTTATTGAAATATATTTTTAATTTCAAAGTGAAAATAACTAACTATAAAATTTATTTTTTAATGCTCATAGAAAGATCATTTAAAAAAATTAAAAACCTTCCTCCCTGCCAACTCCTAATAAAAGGAAATTAAGAATTTTAGTAGACAACATGGATGAAATTATTAGAAGTTTGAAAGCTATAGATGAAAAATCCACGTCATGGAACACTTTGCTTATTTTCATTTTACTATAGAAGGTAGATTCTGAAACAAAACAGTTATGGAACCAAAAGGTGCCTGATGAAGATTTTCCCAAGTTTCGAACCTTTCTGGAATTCATCAACAACGATGTTTCGTCGCTCGATGTTCTGTAGAAATTTATAATCCTGCAGTTCCTAAAACTGATGAAGCAAGGGAAAAGAATTTCAGCGTGTACAATTCAAAAATAAAATGCATGATGTGTGTTAATGCGCACATTATTTAAATCAATGTACGAAATTGAAATCTTTTTCGGTTTTGGATCAAAAGAAGATCCTTTTGCTTAAGACACTTAGCAAGATGAAGCCACTTCGGTCCACTTATTGTACCAGCCATAAGCAAAGGGTTATAAGGAAATAATTATGTTCCGACTGTTTTTCTGATTAACATTCAGTTTAAGAACGTACATCGACTTACAGATGTGCAATAAAGGCAAACATACTATTTGTCTTCATGAAGCTGCATTTAGTCATGCAGTTACACCAAAAATGGAACTGGCAAAAGAAGATATGTCAACTGTGATAAATTCTAACAGTTTGGAGAGATTTTTGAAATCAGATAGACTTCTTACACCTTAAGTCTATGCCATAGACTCTGCAAGAATCAAACATTTAATAACTTGCTTCATTAATTCAAGATCTGAATGCTTATTTACATCATAGCATTGTTCTGAACTATTGAATTTAAAGCATAAAAAGTTGCATTTTTTAGTTAAAGGAATCAGATCAACAGATTTATTTTCTGTTTATGACAATATTGATAGGATAAATATCATGTCTTATGTTTTAAATAAACTTACTGCTTGCATACCAAAAGAAAAAACAATTGAAAACTTAGATTTTACTATACACAGTGTGACTATATTATGAGTTAATTCGTAACAGACAAATTTGAAATTATTATAAACAAGTTATAGCCCAAAATACTGTAATTGGTTTGATAATTTTAAGGAGAAATTACTTAAAGTGTTGTTTTGTAATTGGTAGTAATAAGCCATTAAAAATTCTTGAATTGGATTTTTCCATAACTTTTTAAAGCTTTCTATAATTCTGTAGATAGAATTAAAACCCATAAAAATCCTTAAAAATTCGTAGCAAATTTTTTTTAAAAAAATCCAAAAACAAAGAAATTTCAACTCACTTTTTTTCTAATATATTTAGGTTCCATTTCAAAAAGGCTGACACCTTTAAGGCAAGCAGCTTGAGAGCGAGTTTCTTTTTACTTTCTTTATCATCACTACTGCCTGCAAAATGAGAAACAAATATTGAATAATTAAATAAAGAAAGAATATAACAGTATTTACATAACTTCACACACATCATAGCAAACAAACAATTTAACATTACAAAAAATGGAAATACAGTTGAATAAAAATAAGCTCACTCTCGAAAAAGCAAGCTTACAAGCAGTATAAAGACATTTTTTTTTGAAAAAGTAATATTGTTATGTTATATAAGGAGCAATACACTTCAGATAAGTTTGAGCTTGTTTTTGAGAACCAAGCCCGAAGAACTTTAATCCGAGATATATGCTGCATAAAAGCTAAATTATGCAGTTTCACTACTTCGCCTATGCCTGAACAAGGAATTAGTCATTAAAACCTTTTTATCTCTAACGTGTAACAACAAAATGAGAAAAATCTAGAATTGAATGTGAAGGATAAATACTAAAGAGAAATTGTCAATAACAGCAAATATTCCAAGTTTTTTATCATTAGTTCCCAATCAGAAGCCTTTTTTGTAAACTGCTAAGTTTAAGTATTTATTTTTATTTTGCTCTGCTTCATCTATTACAGTATGTAGGAATGTTTTTATCAATGTAGTAAACACTTACATGTTAAAGAAAAATAAACATGATTTTAATAAAAGCAAAGTGTACCTAAGATTTAATAGCAGTATTAGTTTTTTTATTGTATAAGATTTTCTGAGCTATTTTTCCTTAAATTTTTTGTTTCATAATATATTATTTTAACTTAGTCTATGATCTGAACTGAATGACTTATAACCAAACCAAACATTTGTTTAAAAGTAGAAAAAGTTCATGAAAATGTTATCATGAGCGTGAGCCCGGCTTGGGCTGAGCCTGTCTCATTCTTCATGCTATTTTTATTATGGATGGAGAGAAAAACAATTAAATGTGTCACAGATAATATGATTACAAAACCTGATTATTTTTATCATTTACATTTATTTTATTTTTATTGTAAAAATTTATTATAGAACAAGAAATTCCATCTAACAGGCAACTAAATAATGAATAAATGTATAATATAGCTTGTAGCAGTATGTAGCAGCAGCATAGCTAAAATGTATCAAAAATAAGAGATAACAATATAATATCATCAAAATCATGCCTTTCCTGAAAACATACTTTTAGAAATTTCAGCTTCCATAATAACATCCTCTCCATTCCCAAAGATTGGTGAAGGTGAAAAAGGTCCAGAGTTATTGTGATTAGAGTTGGCATTTCCAGCTTGATCTAAACCATAAGGATTCATAGAATTGCACAAGAACTTTATGATTAAGTCAGTAGGACCGGGATCTTGAAAGAAATAAAATGTTAAAACATGATATTATTTGCATATTTAAGTTAATTTAATTAAATACTGCTAAAAGCATCTTAATTAATAACAAAATAGAATTTCTCTTAAATATTTTATTCTGTCCTTTTTTTTTTTAATTGGATACATATAACAATTATATATGCAACCTTTATTATTTGAAATAAATATTTCTTCCTAATTCCTTATTAATATTTTTTTTTAAAAATAATATTCATGCTTTTATAATTTCGTTTTTGTGTTTCTTTAAATCAAAAGTAAAATTGCTATTTTACTCTTGCTTTTTTAGACATCATAGTTTCTTTTAACTTAAGTTAGCAAAAATAAATCGCATACTTATGTCGCACAGTAAATTTTAGCTAATAAAATTATTTTATTTAAATTACTAGAGACAGTTGCATGTCATGGAAGCACTAATTTTTCCTGTTCAGGGAAAAAAAAATTACATCATTCGCTCTCTTTTGTTTAAGATTTTGTAGGGTAAAGTTGCTTGGATATTTTGCATAAAAGTGTTTTTGATTCCCCTCTTAGCATTGGGTTATAGGGTTGTCTGGCCTAAAAGTTACATTTTATATAACTAATTTCAATTTACTAAAAACTTTACTTGCTTTTAAAGTTCAATTTCCTGAAATTTATGAGTTTCCATTTTAGGACTGCTATTTACATCTACCATTTTCAGATGCAAATAAATCACAAGGTTTAGATTTAATGAATATTAATGTTTGTGTATATTCAGTTTTGGAAATAATAAAGTGAAATTTGCTTATTATAGGGTATTAAAGTGAAATTTGCTTATTATAGGGTATTATAGGGTTTATTTGATAAATAATTCTGGGCAATGGATCTGAAGATGTGTATTTAATTGTAATTATGTGGTATTTTAAATGAAAGATAAGTTATGAAATATAGACCATATAATAATAAAATATTGAAGTTATTTTGTTAAACTCGAGGTACCATAATTGAGGTTGAAGATTTTTATATGATCAACCCTTAGTCAATTTGCGATAGAATTTAAGAAATTTAATTATAAAGCATTCCGAATTATCATATTCCGAATAATCAATTTTATTGATAATTAGGTGATTTATTAATAAAATTATAATTTTTTTAACTGTTTAAAAAACTTAATTTTATAGTACTAATCTGAAACAATTTTCCCAAAAAATCCAATATGCCTCACCTGCCTATCAAGAAGAAATTTAATTCTCCCTCTCAAAAATAAAGGGATGCGTACAGAGGATAGTAGAGGAGTTTTTAAGGATCATTTATATATTAAAAAAAACAGAGCGTTCTACGAAGAAGAAAAATCATTGGCATTATTCTTTCCGAGGATTAACTCTAACTTTACTGGGCTATAAGGTTGAAAATCAAATTCAGTTTTAAATTTATTAATACACTACTAAGTTTTAAATATTTAAACACAACGAATGTATAAAGTATATAGAGATAGCAAAATTATTAGACCCCAATTTTAACTTCACTTCAATTTGTCAATTTTGTATTTCTGATCACCCCAATGGAAAAGTTATACCTACATGCTTGTTAATACTTAGTTAGGGTAACAAAACAAAGTTTATTTTGCAAATTATCATTTAGAACACACTCAACACAGTAAACGCGTTCAACCAAATGGCCTCAAAATATAACGAATACAGTATCCAGGAAAATATAGGCAGTAAAAAGCCTGTAGCATTCCTTAATGTTGCAGGCTCTCCATATCGATACCCTTTGAGTTCGTCCCCTTCTAGGTTATTTTTTCCCTTTGGTTTATTGCGGCCGCTACAAAATTCTTCCCTTAAATATTGTCAAAACACGTAATCTGCCTAAAGTGCTAGTTTTTTAATCAAGTCTTACAAAATATAGCATGCAAGGTATTAAAGGGATACACATACATTATTAATACCACACACATGCAGTCTATTATCCAAAACACCTGTATTTAAATAACAATAATCGAAACCATTCAGTAAGTATATATTTACCTGTGTTTGGTTCAGAAAGATACCTTTCTAAAAGAGCCGGATTAAGCAAAAATTCAAACCATAAAATTTTCTGTGGAGATGGTGGACGATGCTTACTTCTTGGATCAAACATTATTTTAATATAAGCTATTAAGGAAAATATATAATTTTTAAGAATTCGAAAAGTAAAAACCGACTAAAATTTTGCTAGCAAATGTGAAATGTTAGGTACTGTAACAGGTTCAAAACTATTCGTTAAAGCTCTTTTTGCTTGTAGCTTGTGTGTTATCAAAATCGGTGCAAGAATTTTCATTAGGTTTCGGTTTTAGTTGATAACTGCTAACCGTTTTTAACTGATAGGAAGGTCGCTCAGGACGGTAGTTGTCTGCTAAATTCGAGTGAAACCTCACGTATCTCATTTATTAAATGTTTCTAAGGAAATAATAGTTTGGTAATAAAACTGCGGTTACGAAAATAAAAATAAAAGCATATAAATTAGATTCCAGTTTAGAAAGATACTTATGCATCGTCAAAGGATGTCTGATCGTTATTCAAGAGCCGACACCGGAGCAATGTTGTCTCCTGATGGAGATGACAGCAAAATTAAACCTTTTTTTCAAAGCAGAGAAGGCAGAGCCGTCCAAAGAGGTTCATTTAGTGATAAAGGGAACCGGGCAATCGGTGTTTTTACTAGTGGTGGAGATTCCCAGGGTAAGAAGGATGATGAAACAATATAAGATGTTTCCAAAACTAAAATTATTGTAAGCTGTATCTTAAAACAAAAGATATTATTTGCTGTATCATTAAGCAAAAGTTATTATAGAGATTTTTATAAAACTGTGGTTGTAAAATGTTTTATAAAATAAAAATTTTTATTAGATGTTTCATAGTAATAAGTAATTACAAGTTGTCCGATAAAGAAACAAAAATTGTTTTAAGTTTTACTTTTAACTAACATCAGTATATAACTGATTTTATCGAAATGAAAGAAATATCAAAATTATAAGGGTCATATTGTTTAATACTTTTTTTTTTCATCCTTAATATGTTACCATATCAGCACCTGCTCAAATGATCAAGTTTTGGAGGCATAAAAATATAAAAAGAATTTCATATCAGTACCTGCTCAAAAATAATTGCCTTTAAAAATTAACAGAAAAAAACAACTCAGAAGAAGACCATTGTGAAGGCTATAAATCAATTATCTCCACTTCTTTACATTTATTTTTTAAATTTTAGATGATCAAAATCACATTGGTGATTGTAGTTACTGCAAACAGATACTTAAATGAAAATATCCTAGAGAAAATAAATTATACATCCTAGCCCCAAAGGAAAAGCTTATCTATATTTTAAAAAAATTTATTTCAAGTAAAACACCTTCTAAGTATCTGAAGATAGATTTTTTTAATTTTCTTTTAAAGTGGAAAAATCAATGTATGGTCCTTGAATGATCAGGCCATTCAGTTAATCAGTGTCAGGATAAACAGAGCTCTGGTATTAGAGAGACAAGGTTTTTATTTCAGAGCTATGTTGTGCTTTGTATCCCAGTGGCATCTTAAAGCCCACCCAGCTTCATGTTAGTTAATTTTCAAAAAAACGGTAATAAAAGTTTCTATTTTTTTTATCCCTGAAAATTATACACGTATTTGATTAGTGCTGACATCTAGTTTAAAATAAACTATCTATAATTACCTTAAAAATTTCCTGGTACTGCCACCTGATGTGTAAAATGAGAAATAAAATGTTTTCCGGGCAAAAGAAAAAGAATTAGCTTTATTCTTATTTTCTCGTTACTACTGAACACTCCAGCCCGGAAACATCAAGGGAGCAAGAAATGGAGAGCGAAACCTCACTCCGTCATTTTCACGAGAGTGACAAGGAAGGGAATAAAAGTATCAGCGAAGTTGGAACGCATTGTAATCATCATACCATTAGTAAAAAATTGCGGGACTTTATCCTCCATGACTTCTCCTGTCACACAACAGTCTGTTGAGGAAGTCTTTTAGTTTGCTGTATAAGAGAAAAGCCTGTTTTATCATGCGTTGTTTTAATGCTATATGTTGGAAATAATAATTTTTGTGTACATAATATTTTTTTACGTGGATATGCATTAACTCAATGTTTTTTTAGGTATGAATGCTGCTGTTCGGGCTGTTGTACGTATGGGCATGTACATGGGAATCAAAGTTTTTTTCATCAAAGAAGGATATCAGGGAATGGTAGATGGGGATGATTATATTGTAGACGCTACCTGGGTTAGTGTCTCCGGCATTATTCATAAAGTAAGTATATTTCGTATAATTATAGCTCAAATTTTTAAAATATATATATGATTTTTTAATTAGCAAGTAATTTACTAAAACAGAGTACTTATTGATTATTTATAAAAAATTATCAAATTAATGAACCTGACTATTTTTTATTAGACATTTGCTAAACAGTTTATTTGTTAATTAACTATTAAAAAAAAGAAAACATAATTTGAATTTTTTTTTTCATGTTTTAAATTAAAAGATAATGTGAAATAATATTTTTGTGAATGTAACTTGTTGGTTTTTCACGATAGTTATCTATACTTTATTGGGGAAATTGTGAAATATGCACAAATCAAGTTATTACTTATCTACTTTAGCACAAATCTGGTATCATACTGAATTAAGTAACTAAGATATATTTGAATTATTTCAAATTGCATTTTTATTTATAATACTTCCAAGATCTCCAATTATCTGAACATCAGCTTACCGACATGCAATGCGTACATTTTGCTGTACAGTACACTGTTCACTGACGTCACTTCGGTCGAGCCAACTGACATGACGAAAGGGTTAAATGTTATTATATTTCAACACAGTTACTTCTTTGCAGATTCTTATTAAAATTATAATACAGTCTATGGCAGGGCTTCTTAAACTTTTTTATATAGCGACCCCCTTCAAGCTTAGGAAATTTTAAACGACCCCCTCCTCCATATAATGAAATATATATTAACCGTAGATGTAGATGTAATATCGCACTATTTTACAATGTAAATAAAATNTTCTAAAAATTAAAAAAACACGAATAGACTTGGAAAAAAATTATTTCTTTAATTATAATAAATTTTTAACATCTTCTAATTGAATATTTTTGCTGCAACATCATATGAAAAATGTTCTATATCTACTTTTTCATAAGGTATTATATTTATTTGGCTGAAAAATATCCGTATTTGTTTCAATTTGACCGTTTCTACCGACATTTGTTTCATTTTCATTTGTTTGTTACGGAGCAGAAGATGTCGCCTTAACAAGGTATTTGTCCATCTTACATGCATGCACAAAAAATGTAAACGTCTTACTTGAAGAAACCTTACCTACATTGAATACGTGGTTGCAGAGAAATGTGTTCTGAAAGGGGTTTCGTGGTTCGGGGGGATCTGCTTTTCACACCGGTTCTGAACAATACTGTGAATACAAGAAAAGTTAAACAGATTTTAGTCAAAATGGCAAAAGACGAAATTTTTTCCAAAATTCGCACATTTTGAAATTGATTAATAGAGTGCGCGAACTTCTCGCCTTAATAATTTTTATTGCGAGAAAAGAAAAAAATATGCGAGATTTTTGCGCTGTAGTGAAAACACTGTCCTCCATGACTTCTTCTGTCACACAACAGGCTGTTGAAGAAGTCTTTTAGTTTGCTGTATAAGAGAAATGCCTGTTTTATCATGCATTATTTTAATACTATATGTTGGAAATAATAATTTTTCTTTGCAAAATATTTTTTTATGTGGATATGCATTAACTTAATGTTCTTTTAGGCATGAATGCTGCTGTTCGGGCTGTTGTACGTATGGGCATGTACATGGGAATTAAAGTTTTTTTCATCAAAGAAGGATATCAGGGAATGGTTGATGGGGATGATTATATTGTAGAAGCTACCTGGGTTAGTGTGTCCGGCATTATTCATAAAGTAAGTATATTTCGTATAATTATTGCTGAAATTTTTAGAATATATATGATTTTTTAATTAGTAAGTAATTTACTAAAGCATTGTTCTTATTGATTATAAATAAAAAATTATAAAATTCATGAACCTGACTATTTTTTATTAGACATTTACTAAACAGTTTCATTTGTTAAGATTTATTGAAAAAAGAAAACATAATTCGAAATTTTTTTCATGTTTTAAAATTAAAAGATAATGTGAAATAATGTTTTTGCAAATGTAACTTGAATCCCCTGAGGCAGAATATTTTCGAGCTAATTGCGACCAAATTCTAGCACTAATATCTTTCTGCAAGATGCTTTTAATAATAACAAACATATACGTTATTAATTTACAATAACAGAAGCGCTGTGTTTACAACAAAAAAAATCTATTATGTTTTTTTTTACTTGAACATGAAAATATTTTTTATTCTTATATTATGGGTGATATTCACGCATTTTATTTGGGGGAAAACTCACTACTATGGAGAAATCAATAGCAATAACTGCCAAAAATTTTATAGAATCATTGCCTTAAGAAGTAAATATTCAAATGCACGATTCGAATTTTCCATATTGTTTGAAATATATCGGGATATTTAAAAACCATGCGAAAATTGATATCAGTAACTGCCGAAAATTACATCGAAAAATTATATCGATTTACGATTCTATTGGTGTAAATTGAGATAGTTAAAAAGTGATTATCTACATCCATCATTCAAATATTACATGACAATTTCTGTGGAAAAGAAAACTAAAATTTTTTACTTTTCAAAAGAAAAATCTTTCAGAACTCAGTAACGTTCTGCTACAATGTCGCCGTGTCGCTGCGATTCTGCCACAAGGCTTGAATCTATGTTTCGCCATAGTTAACTTGTTTGTTTTTAGTGATAGTTATCTATACTTTATGAAAGAAAATGTAAAATATGCACAAATCAAGTTATTACTTATCTACTTTAAGCACAAATCTGGTAACATACTGAATTAAATAACTAAGATATATTTGAATTATTTCAAATTGCATTTTTATATAATGCTTCGAAAATCTCCAATTATCTGAACATCAGCTTACCGACATGCAATGCGTACATTTTGCTGTATGGTGCACTGTTCAGTGGCGTCACTTCAGTCGAGCCGACTGACATGACGGAAGGATTAAATGTTATTATATTTCAACAGAGATATTTCTTTGCAGATTCTTATTAAAATTATAATACAGTCTATGCTCCCCCCCCCCAAAAAAAAGAAAATATTTCGAGACTGTTTTATTTTTAAGAATGTTTCGAGACTGTTTTATTTTTACAATCTTAAAAAAAGACATCATGAGCAAAATCTCAAAAACAAAATTTTTTTAGAAATGTCAGATTTTATTAAAAGTTATGGTGTATATTCCAAATTCAACAAATGAGTGAAAAGAAAAATTTTACTTGTTTTTCCAGGATATTTTTAAAAATCATTGCGAGGAATCTGATAGATTCTCCTTTTTACTGTACATTTGCATATTGCCCAAACCTCAATCATTTCTACAAGCATCTATAAATTCTAAATGTTCATCACTCATCTTCATCATTTCAATTGTTCATCTACCACTATCATGTCGGTAATTTTCAACATGCAGTTGAAGTAATCATTGTGAAACCAGTCCTAGTAATAGTTACATATGTTATGTGTGCGTTGGTCATTATTTGGGGGCAAGACTAATTTTTTTTCTCTAGCTCAGGTTTATGGGAAACTCAAACTTTCGAGACTATACTGTAATTACCCTCTTTTTTAAACTTCTAACTGGCAGATATAAGAAAATAGGATTCATCCTTATAGACATTTTCAATTTAATCATATAATTATCAGTCATTGATTGCCATTAAAATATGTGTGCAATCATATTTTTTTCCATATTATTATTATTTTTATGCAACTTGCTTTATCTGGTGCTGGAGTAATTTAATGAGGCATTAAAATATTTATAACTCATTCTATTCACACATGTCAAAAAAAAAATCCAAATGCTTCTTCTAATTAATTAGTAATAAGTAAAAAGTTTAGGAAGATTAATGAGTAGTAATAAGTAAAAAGGATTCCCCATTTCAAATGAAAGTTTTTGCAATAATTGGTTAAAAATATAAGAATAGTAGACACAGCAAATTTTTTTAGGTAAAAAAGAGAAGTAAAGCCAGTTTAAATATAAAAAAATAGATTTTTTTTTTTTTTTTTTTTTTTTTTTAAAAAAANCATGGCGTGTTCAAAGTGTGCAGCGCACAAAGGCACCGTATCACAAAGACGCCGAAAAAGAAGCTTTCATTTAATTTTTTTTATTATTCTTTTATAAAAATAATATGCCGATTCGCCTAGCCTAGCTTGATTATGCTTCCGTATTGTATGTGTAAGCTGTAAGGCGACGCGGCGTCTGGGTACTTATAATCACTAAGTTATCTTGCAAACACTGACGCCGGCGGCCAGACATCAATGTCGAACGTTCAGTTGAAAATCGAGGAGCGCGTTGTATTTATTATTTTAAATGCTACTTCCATATTTTCATTTATAGGCCCTACATAACAGTTTTGCATTGCCACTTTTTTCAAAAAATAGTTATAATAAAACTACAATAGTATTTTGTATGATTTTTATTTGTATTTATATTTGTACGTAGTGTGTATACTAATTTTAAAATTTTATTTATAATGATTGAAAAGTATCAGATCTTTGCGACCCCCTTTCAGTAGTCTCGCGACCCCCTGGGGGTCGCGACCCACAGTTTAAGAAGCCCTGGTCTATGGTATCATTCGTTTCTATGCCACCCCCCAAAAAATAGAATATCTCGTGACAGTTTTATTTTTAAGAATGTAAGATTACAATCTTAAAAATAGACATCAGCATGAGTCAAATCTCCAGAACAAAAATTTTTTAGAAATGTCAATTTTTATTAAAAGTTATGCTGTAGATTCCAAATTCAACAAACGAATGAAAAGAAAAATTTTACTTGTTTTTCCAGGATATTTTTAAAAATCATTTTGGGGAATCTGATGGATTCTCCTTTTTTCTGTCCATTTGCATTGCCCAAACCTCAATCATTTCTACAAGCATCTATAAATTCTAAATGTTCATCACTCATCTTCATCATTTCAATTGTTCATCTACCACTATCATGTCGGTGTTTTTCAACGTTCAGTTAGAGTAATCATTGTAAAACCAGTCCTAGTAATCGTTACTTGTGCTGTGTGTGCATTAGTCATTATTTAGGAGCAAGACTAATTTTTTTTCACTAGCTCAGATTTATGGGAAACTCAAACTTTCGAGACTTTACTGTAATTACTCTTTTTTTTAAACTTGTAACTGACAGATATAAGAAAATTGGATTCATCCTTATACACATTTTCAATTTATTCAGTTATTGGTTGCCATTAAAAAATGTGTACAATCATATTTTTTTCCATATTATTATTATATTTATGACTTGCTTTACCTGGTACTGGAGTAATTTAATGAGGCAATAAAATATTTAAAACTCATTTTATTCACACATGTCAAAAAAAATCTTAATGCTTCTTCTAATTAATTAGTAGTAAGTAAAAAGTTTAGGAAGATTAATTAGTAGTAAGTAAAAAGGATTCCCCATTTTAAATGAAAGTTTTTGCAATAATTGGTTAAAGAATATAAGAATAGTAAACACAACAAATTTTTTTAGGTAAAAAAGAGAAGTGAAACAATTTTAAATATAAGAACATAGAATTTTTTTTTTTTTTTGAGATTTGGAAAGGAAATTACTAGGAAGGGGATTTGCCCCTACCTTTCCCCTCCTGCCATAATCATTCCGGGTAAAAATTCGATCATTAAATCAAAAATAGTTCAGAATAATTTTTCCGTTTCCTTTTTTAGCTCAATGTACATTAATTTTTTTACTTTCGATGTAAATAATTTGAAATTCTTTAATATTTTTAAATGTTACTGCATTTTAACTGTATACTTTGACATCGTTCTCTAGGGTGGAACAGTTATTGGAAGTGCTAGGTGCAAAGATTTCACCACTCGGGAAGGAAGATTAAAAGCAGCTGCAAATTTAGTGCGACATAACATCACAGATTTGGTAGTGATTGGAGGAGATGGCAGCTTAACTGGTGCAAATATCTTCAGACAGGAGTGGTGTTCTCTTTTAGATGAATTGGAGAAAACTGGTATTTATCGTCTTACAAATATTTTTAAATAATTCAGTAAAGTTGTATTTTTTCTTATCTAATAATTTATTATTAAATCAATTTCCTGTTTTGCATTATTGAGGTACCTTTTTCTTAATTTCAAGTCCTGAATTTCAGGTCAGAATTTTTTACACTATTTTTTATATTATTATTATCCACAATCCAAAATCAATACCCAGGACAGCTTTATAATCCAAGAGTCTCTTTTAAAATAAAGAGTTATTGATTGTTAGAGTTTCAAAATTAAATAGATTAGTTGAATGTTTAATTACAAAACAGAGCTACTTTAATAACATTAAGTAAAAAAAAAATTCTTTAACAGCTTTCAAAAATAATTATTTTCATGAAACAGTTTAGGAAGATCCTTGCCTTTAAAGGTTTGCCATCTTTTGAAGATAATCTCTAATATATCTCAAATTTATAATTTAGTTATAAATTTATATATCAAAATTATTTTTCTGATTTGAGTCATTAATGTTGGAAAGGATCATTTTTCAAATTTTTCTAGAATATCTTTCACTGCTACCTAGTCTCCATCTCTTATCCCATAGTTTAAAATATCACTGGTATAACAGAAATGAGTTATTAATATTTATTTATTATGGCTAAGACCATGCAGCAAATATTATTTTTAGGGGTAATATTTGTTTATTATGACTAATGTTTTATTCTTTATTATGACTTTTGTTTTCAGGAATTATAACACCAGATAAAAGAAAAATGTGTGGGCATCTAAACATAGTAGGAATGGTTGGGTCCATTGATAATGATTTTTGTGGCACTGACATGACTATTGGAACAGATTCGGCACTCCACCGTATCTTAGAATCTATCGATGCAATTGTAACAACTGCATCAAGGTAAGTCATTATGTATAGGGGCTGTTCTCCGAGCTCTTAATGTAGTCAAAACTTTTGTATTCCCATTGGCAAATATATTTATTGTTGATGAAACAAGTCTCAATAATTTTTTTACTGTTTTACAAAATTAATTGATTGATAAAGATTTTACTTTTTGCCTTTTACTATAGATATATAATTGATATTATAACTGTCATTTAAAATATTTATTTATATGCAATTTATGAGCAATACTATATATTTTTAAATTTAGCATTTTTTAATATGTATTTTTCCCATTGTGAATTCTTCTTAAACTATGATATCATGTAATTTATTTTTAACTTCTTTATTAAATTTTTTTCAACCTTAATTTATTGTCATTTTTTAAAAAAACTTTGCATATACTTCCTCAATCAGTATATTAGTATACAATTCCTATTTATGATTAGCGATTTTTACATAAGTTTCCTGAAAGTTTTAATGTTATATTATTCTTTTTGAAATCTGATAGCATGTCTAAGCACAGTGTATGATTATTCCATTTTTTTTAAATACAGTATATCATATAAATACTGCTCAGCTTATGATGTAGCACATATATTCTACATCTTTAAATACAACTTTTATTTATTCATATTTTATAAATTTTCTTCATAATACACAACTACTTAAAATCTAAATCTAATTTACATTTATTAGTTTTTTTACAGTATATTGTGTTTCTCTTAAAACTTAACATTATCACCTCTTCAGTTTATGTGAGTAAAATAATTGTTTGTTGAAATATTCAGTGGTATCGAAGTTTAGCAAGAAACGTTTTTTTTTTCTTAAGATATGAAATTATTTAAGATATGTAATATTAAAGTAATAGCTAAAGTGTGAAAAATTTAGATTTTTTGTCATAGCGCAAAATTTGAGATTTCTAATTTTACTTTGAGATTTCGAATTTTACTTTAAGATTTCGATTTTTACTTTGAAATCTCGCTTCATGATGTAAAAACTGGCCTCTCAGAACAGCTTTTTTATTTCTTGCCAAAGCATTGTTGTTTAACTGGAAAAAAAAATCATTTCACTTCAATCTGAATAAAAGAAATGTCCAGATATCCTAAAATGTCATTAGCTTAAAACTAATAAAACTTATCTCTGCATTTACCTTTAACTTACTGTTTAAACTTGTTCCAATCCCATATTTGTCATTAATATCAACTCTTAATATTATTAAATGTTTTTTTTTATTTAGTGGGTGATTTATATTCCATTGTAAACATTTGGTCATCAAATGTATTATTTGATGATAATTATAGTAATTTTTTAAATAATCGGATTGTTAAAGATCTGATATGATGTTTAAGAAATATATTTTGACAATTAATCATGTGATGCTTAAGTAAAATGCTTATACTTATGTATGTTCAGTTAGCATATAATTAAATAGTTTAATAAAGTATTGAGTATTAAAAAGCCTAAGCAATATTAAGGATTGTTTTATCATGCTATTTTTAAGTAGTCTTGTTGGTAAAAAATATTGAGTATGTTTTTATAAAAACCCAAAAATTATGAAAATTTTAAAAAAACAACTTTATACATGTAGAAATTATAATACAGTAGAGAACCAATTATCCGGGATGCTCGGGGCCATTGCTATCCCGGATGTCTGAATTTCCCGGTTTTCTGGATCGACCAAAAAGTGTCATTAATTGATGTTTTGTCGAACCCGAATTACAAGGAAAAAGTGTAACACATAAAGTAAGAGAAAAAAGAAAGTCACTCCTAAATTTAAAAGGGAAAGAAAATGGTTGAAAAATAACATTTAAAAGAATTTGCAAGTTTAGACAAGAAAAACAAGTTTAAAACATGCAAAATTCTCATATTTATTTTTTAAAAATAATTGCAATTCCTAAATTAACTAATATAAACAAAACCAATGATTAAATGACGCAATATATTTCATACCTAATTATGCAGGGGGGGGACGACAAAATAAAAGGAAAACTTATTATTCTAAATAAAAACACTTGAAAATTATCAAACCGAAACGATAGTTAAAAAAGGCACTATCATAAATATTAAAACCCAGAACAAGGCAAGATCAACGGAATTTTTTTAAAAAAACCTTATGATAAAATTTATGAATAAAAAGAATTAATTTATTGAGTGCGAAATTTATCGTGACAAGAAAAATAAATCAAACGTAGTGGAATCATAAAAACGAAACTGCAATCAAAATAATCCTATGTTTCAATTAATAAACAATTCTCTCTTTATTTATTTTTTTATAAAAACCCGATTTTTAATTACAGCAGATGTGATTCCACATAAAAAAAACTTGCAAATGATACCGCACTTCCAAAGAATCAGAATTTATTCATTCAAAAGAAAAAGATTTTATTTTTATTAATCGATGTTAAATAGATGAATATATTTTTCTCTTTCATCTTCTGATCACTGATATGCATGCAATGCATTTTCCCCACCTCCCTCGTGAATCAAACAGAAAACGAAATCAGCATGCCACACCCTTGAGTTTGATTGACGGCCTAAAGGAGAAAATAAAACATTCCTCCCTTCCCTGCCTCCTCTCGATCTTCAAGGTCACGGAAGAAATGGCGTTTCTCTGGGTAAGCGGGGGAAGAAATTCGCCCCTTCCTTACATTTTCCTCTACTCAACTTCAAGAATGAGTACAATTTCCACTTTTTTTCATAATCGTTCTAGTTTAAAATGGCAGGAAAACGGAGCAAAATTTACCCCGGTTTTCTAGTTTCCCGGTTATCTGGATGCCGGATAAATGGTTCTCTACTGTACTATGAAAATAGCATCATTTACTGCAAGCGTATTTGATAAATGAAGTGATTTAACCACCATTACCAAGTATGTCATTGTAATAGAATACAGTAATTTCCAGTGGACACGCTGTACAGGCTGCACCCGTGAAAAACATTGTTAAAATTTTTATTTTCATCCCAGTGTTTTCATCATAGAAAAAAAATGGGTGAGAATTTCTCACCCTTTCTCAAACACAGGGTGAGATTTCAAAAAGTTAAGTGAGATTTCTAAAAAAAACACAAAAACTCTTGCAAAAAAATCATTTCTTTAATAATAATACATTTTTAGCGTCTTCTACTTTTTAAAGTATTGAATAATTTTGATGCATCATCATAGAAAATTTTGCCTTTACAAGGTATTTGTCCATCTTGCATAAGTGCATAAAAAATTTGNTGCTGTAAATTTCATTTGATTCTGATGATTCCTTCATGGTGTTGCATTTTCTACAAACAGCAGTTTATTTCAAATAAGACAAAATCTTTCGTCTTCAAATCTTAAGTTTCAATTATTTATTATAAAATATATATATATCAGTGATAAATAAGTTTATAGATAATGAAAAATAATAAAGTATTGAAAAAGTTTATTCTTGATTTTTAGATGATGTAGAAAATGCTGAAGTAAACGCTACTAAATTTTTTTTTTTACTGAAATTGATTAAAAGAAAAGACGATGTAGAATATAAAAGAAAAAGAATACTTACTTTCAAGAAGAAAAAAATAATAAATTATGAATTTCAATGGCTAATGAATTTAGTTTCTGTGATAGAAGCAAATGTTCCAATTAAAATACAATTAATAGTTCGAAGTCTTGTTCCATTTTATTTTTGGTATTTTCTATAAGCTCAATCGTGGGATTTGTTTTAAAGAATATCGTTTTTTTTTTTTTCTTTCTTTCGAATTTAATCTTTCTTTTTCAGTCTCAATTTGACAGTTCCTACATCAGTCAATCGGCAGAGTGGAGTCAATTTAAAATTCCTGTTATTTCTTCTTCTTAGGCGCGTTTATTTAATGCAGAAGCATTGTTTTCTTTTTTTTAATTTCTATGTATTATGTATTGAATGCATTGGTTCGCAAAAAGGACTGAAATCAGCGTTGAAAAAAAATTTATTAAAAGGAAATACAACTAAAAGTATCTACTGAAATCCAATCAATGTATAGAACAAAAAGAGTTTATTTTCTAGTTTTGTGACAGTTTAAAATAAAATATTTATAAAGAAAATATAGATGAGAAGAAGGGAGTTGAAAATAAAGCGTACTAAGTTTAATTATTCTCAAGTTACAAATCGGAATTTGTAACACCATTTGTAGATAACATCATGCGGCATTTCGTCAATTGAAAACTTCTGTAATCAAACTATATTTTAATGAGAAAAAAATAATAAGGAAAATCATTTTCAGAAAACGTTTCATTACAAAAAAGGTTCGTAATTTCAGAAAATTTTCGGTAAACATCTGTTTTTGAATAAATCCCTCGTGATCGAAAAATGATCACGTATGGCGTAGGATAAATGAATTCTTCGTATAGGCTGCACATCGTGACAAGAAAACTTTTAAACACATATAGGTAGCAGCCTATCTACCGGAAATTACTGTAATATTAATATTAAATCTTATTTTTAAAAATGATTCGCACACTGACCCCAATGAAATGTGAAAACAAATCTTTGCACTAAGTTTTTAAAATATAAAATTGACTACTTTTTAATTAAAAATTTATCTTTTGAAGAAATAATTCAATTTGATTTCGTAACAAAAATGATGGAATCAGTTATAGGAATTTGTGAACAAAACAAGCACACTCCAAGTTGATAGTAAAAAGTTGATAGTCCTTATAAAAGATTCTCAAAATAGAACTGTAAAAATTAACTTATGCTAACTAATTTCTGTTACAAATTCTGATAAGCAAATATGCTCATTTAAAAGTTTTTATTCGTATTATTATATTATTTTAAATCATTTAGTAAATATATTTTAAGAAAAATGATACTTAGCTCTGTGATTATTATATTAATTCAATAAACGAATAGCTATTCTAAAATTTACTTAAGCTTTTATTGTTCTATTACAATGTAAGCAAAGATTTTAAAAGCACTATTTTACTTTATTTGTGTTTATGATACAGAAAAATTAATGGGTAGTTCAGAATGAAGATTTGGAGGTGCAACATTGTATTATTTTTAGTCCTTAATTACAATTTGGATGATTAGTGAACTAATCATATTTATCTGTTACTGGTTTAAAATCAGTTAGTAAATATAATTTATAAAAAAATGATAATGTCTTTTAGAGTCAATAATTCTACCATACTGAATAATTTGATTTTTTCTTTCAGTCATCAACGAACTTTTATTTTGGAAGTTATGGGTCGTCATTGTGGGTAAGTTCAATTTTCCTTTTTTCTCTGTAGTGTCTAAATAAAGTTTGTTTCTATTAGTTATTTAAAAAATTGTCTCTTTTCCAGTTATTTGGCATTAGTTGGAGCTTTAGCGAGTGAAGCAGACTTTGTATTCATTCCAGAATGGCCACCCGAAAGAGACTGGCCACAAATTTTGTGCAAAAAACTTATGCAGGTTTGTGATAGTTTTAATTTATATTATATGATGAATTGTTTAGTTTTATTTATTGACACAAAAAATAAACCAAACTATCAATCTCTAGCCATTTTGAGTTTACATTTTATTACTATATTTCAATTTATCAAATCTAATTTAAGAATGTGTTTTATCTTTAAATCTGATAACCATCCATTCTTTGTCTTTTTTTTTTCTCATAATGTTGGGGTAACTAAAGTTTCGCATTATATTCTTACTTTATTTCTATTTTTTTAGGAGAGAGAAAATGGTCAAAGGCTAAATATTATTCTGATAGCTGAGGGGGCTCAGGACAAGGATTGTAATCCGATAACTGCTGAGCAAGTTAAAAAGGTATTAATTTGTCTTCTAAAACTTTTTATATTTTCACTTTTTCTTTCTCTAAAACTTTTATTCAATTATTTCAGGTTATCGAAGATAAGTTGCAGCAGGATACGCGTATAACTGTTCTCGGTCATGTACAAAGAGGTGGCAGCCCATCTGCTTTTGACAGAATCTTGGTAATTGCTATATGCCCAATATATGATGAATATATAATATATCAAGAAATATTGCTATTTTATAAATGTCACGATAACATTATTTTATAATGTGCTCTCTTGATATATCATAAATTCTATGTAATGCTGAAATAATGACACAGAAATAAATTAAATTTGAAAAATATTTCAAAATCTTGATATTTCCTGAAGATATATCATGATTTAAATGTTTGGGTATCACCCTGCTCTAATATAGAGCCATATAGGCACTTTGTTATATTATATGTAACTATTTAAAAAAATTATAGACTTAAAAAAACTATGTACTAATTATCTCAAAACAATAACGAAACTAAATTGGACAAATATTTCGAAATATTGATATTTCCTGATGATGCATCATGATATAAAAATTTTGATATCACTCTTCTCTAGTGTAGAGCCATGAAGGCACTTAGTAATATTAAACTATTTAAAGATAAACATAAAAAAAAAACTAAATCATCTCAAAAGAAATATATTTAAATAGTTAGTAGATTAAATTGTTTCCTATTCACTAATTATTAATATACAGTAGGGATTATCCAGAACAATCGGGACCATCGCTATTCCGGATAGCTGATTTTTCCGGTTTTCTGAATCGCTACAGAAAGCCGTTTTTTTTTTTATTGTTAAACCCAACTAAAAAAATTATTTGGAAATAATCTTAAAAAGAAGAAAAAACGAAGAAGTAATGCACTAATGATTATTTCCAAAATGATGGTAAAGTAAACATCTTTCAAAAAAGAAAGAAAAATTCTAAAATCTTATGAGGAAAAAAACTTTTTTTTTTTTTTTAAATGGCAGGAAAATGTATCGAATTTCGTTCCGGTTTCTTGGTTTTCCGGTTTTCTGATTTCCGGATAACGGGTTCTGTACTGTATTAAGTAATTATGAAAAAGTAGTATAGTAAATAATCATGATAATGCTTTAGTTAAAATACTAGTGTTCTAAATAATTATGATCGATGTAGTTTAATGTTTTCTTGCACACGGTTTAGGGTTGTCGAATGGGGGCTGAAGCTGTTCACGCTCTTTTAGAGGCCACACCAGATTCAGAAGCTTGTGTTGTTTCCCTGGATGGAAATCAGGCTGTTAGAGTACCCTTGATGCAATGCGTAGAAAAGGTAAAAAGATATGCAAAATTATTTATTGTATTTTTAATATAACCTACATTGCACATGTTGAGAAGGGATGAAAATAAAAAATGTATCTAAGTTTTTTTTTTCTGTATGTAAAACTGCAGTGTCACAACGAACAGAAAATATGAAGCTCTTCTTTAATTTTATTTTATAACTACTTTTTTAATTTTATGCATAGCTTTTTAAATAGAAAAAAATATAAATTCTCATCTGAAAAGGGAACTAAAACCAGTTTTAAAAAAAAAAATCCAAGAGGCAAGCAGAGTCTTGAAATACAGCTTGAGGCAACTTTTTATAAAGTCTGCTCTGTTGCCCTGTTTTTCTCAATTCCATGGAAAGCAGGCAAATGTCATGGCTGTTACCCTTTTCAAAATTTTGGCAAAATATTATTTTTTTCTATTAAAACTGAAGAAAAATATTTTAATTTCATGTCGAAACAGTAAGGAACATATTAAATTAATTATATTTTTAATGCAGAATTAAGTCAAGCTATTTTTTTTTTTCAGTTGTCACTCTTGTAAATAGTTTTTTAAGAAGGTACTTCCTTTAAATTTCATAATTTTATTATTTTGTGTCTTTGAATTAAGTCCTGTTTTATAAAACAAAAACTGAAATCTGAACATAAATTTTGCATCATTTCAGAGCAATCGGTTATATTGTTGAGATAATCAGCATCCATGTCCATTTTTTGTCATGTCGGTCACAGCGTATTTTATTAATTCACATAATAAGATTGTTTCGATATGAAAGGTCTTAGTTTGTAGTGTATTATTTACTTATGAATTTATATAAATAAGCTGCAAAAAGAGGGAAAAAAATCTCAAGTTGATAAGATAAATAAAATAAAATTATAATTTCGAAATTCGCGCAACAGCTATGATATTTTTCGTTGTATGCATGTAAATTTACTGTTATTTGCTCTGTAATCTACTAAACATATTTATTTAAATTTATTAACTTTAATTGTGTTTATTATCTTCACAGGACACAAAGATTACTTATACAATTGTAACTAATGCACATTACTTTCAAACCGAAAAATATTCCCTGCATTTTTATAATTGCAACATTATGTTAATTTTAAAACTTAATACTCTATTTTGTATTTTTTGTGATCCACTGCTCAAAAATTGTTATATATCTCTGATAAATATCATGGCAATTTTGGTTTATTCTGTTTTTATTTTCCCTTAATATGCTTCTTTCTTTTTTGTTAACTATTAAACTTCATTTAAACTGAAATACAATGCTAAATAATGAATATGTAATCTGCATAAATTAATGAGCATAACTAACACAAAAATGTGTTTCAATTTGTTTATCTGAACAGTTTGCTTCGTACTTCTTTCCAGCTTAAACTCAGTTTTTTTCAACTGTTCATTACCAGTATGAGAAAAGAAATTTTGATCTGTTTTGTGACAACATTGGTATAAGTGTTTTATGTAATATAGATTTTTTTTTTTTGTAGATTTTATATACCATTTTGAAAATTGCATATTCAATGCTTTAGTAATCTAATGAATTGTTTTGTTTAAAGATTGAATTTGTCATTTGAAATTGTGCGTTTATACATTTNATAATGTTGGGATAACTAAAGTTTCGCATTATAGTCTTACTTTATTTCTATTTTTTTAGGAGAGAGAAAATGGTCAAAGGCTAAATATTATTCTGATAGCTGAGGGGGCTCAGGACAAGGATTGTAATCCGATAACTGCTGAGCAAGTTAAAAAGGTATTAATTTGTCTTCTAAAACTTTTTATATTTTCACTTTTTCTTTCTCTAAAACTTTTATTCAATTATTTCAGGTTATCGAAGATAAGTTGCAGCAGGATACGCGTATAACTGTTCTCGGTCATGTACAAAGAGGTGGCAGCCCATCTGCTTTTGACAGAATCTTGGTAATTGTTATATGCCCTATATATGATGAATATATATTATATATCAAGAAATATTGCTATTTTATAAATGTCACGATAACATTATTTTATAATGTGCTCTCTTGATATATCATAAATTCTATGTAATGCTGAAATAATGACACAGAAATAAATTAAATTTGAAAAATATTTCAAAATCTTGATATTTCCTGAAGATATATCATGATTTAAATGTTTGGGTATCACCCCGCTCTAATATAGAGCCATATAGGTGCTTTGTTATATTATATGTAACTATTTAAAAAAATTATAGACTTAAAAAAACTATATAATTATCTCAAAACAATAACGAAACTAAATTAGACAAATATTTCAAAATATTGATATTTCCTGATGATGCATCATGATATAAAAATTTTGATATCACTCTTCTCTAGTATAGAGCCATGAAGGTACTTAGTAATATTAAACTATTTAAAGTTAAACATAAAAAAAACTAAATCATCTCGAAACGAAATATATTTAAGTAGTTAGTAGATTAAATTGTTTCCTATTCACTAATTATTAATATACAGTAGGGAAGCGATTATCCAGAACAATCGGGACCATCGCTATTCCGGATAACTGATTTTTCCGGTTTTCTGAATCACTACAAAAAGCCGTTTTTTTTTTTTAATATTGTTAAACCAAAGTAAAGAAATTATTTGGAAATAATCTTAAAAAGAAGAAAAAACGATGAAGTAATACACTAATGATTATTTCCAAAATGATGGTAAATGAACATCTTTCAAAAAAGAAAGAAAAATTTTAAAATCTTATGAGGAAAAAAACCTTTTTTTTTAAAAAAAAAAAAATGGCAGGAAAATGTATCTAATTTCGTTCCGGTTTTCTGATTTCTGGATAAGGGGTTCTGTGCTGTATTAAGTAATTATGAAAAAGTAGTATAGTAAATAATCATGATAATACTTTAGTCAAAGTACTAGTGTACTAATTAACTGTGATCGATGTAGTTTTATGTTTTCCTGCACATGGTTTAGGGTTGTCGAATGGGGGCTGAAGCTGTTCACGCTCTTTTAGAGGCCACACCAGATTCAGAAGCTTGTGTTGTTTCCCTTGATGGAAATCAGGCTGTCAGAGTACCCTTGATGCAATGTGTAGAAAAGGTAAGAAGATATGCAAAATTATTTATTGTATTTTTAGTATAGCCTACATTACACATGTTGAGAAGAGATAAAAATGAAAAATGTATCTAAGTTTTTTTTTCATGATGACTTTTATGTAAAACTGCAGTGTCACAACTAGCAGAAAATATAAAGCTCTTCTTTAATTTTATTTTGTAACTTGATACACTGCCCTTTAAATAGTAAATTATAAATACTCAAGTGAAAAGTGAACTATAAACAGTTTTTTTTTTTTTTAAAAATCCAAAAAACAATGAGTCTTCAACTACAGCATGAGACAACTTTATATAAAGTCTGCTCTGTTGCCCTGTTTTTGTCAATTCCACGAAAAGCAGACAGATGTCAGGGCTGTTACCCTTTTCAAAATTTTAGCAAAATATTTTTATTCTATTAAAACTGAAGAAAAAAGTTTTAATTTCATGTCAGAACAATAAAGAACATATTAAATTAATTATATTTTTAATGCAGAATTAAGTCAAGCTATTTTTTTTTTCAGTTGTCACACTTGTAAATATTTTTTTAAGAAGGTACTTCAGATAAATTTCATAATTTTATTATTTTGTATCATTTTAGAGCAATCGGTTATATTGTTGAGATAATCACAGGGTTGCCACTGCACAGGGAAAACCTGGAAAATACAGGGAATTTAAAAATCACCTAAAATAACAGGGAAAATGCAGGGAATTTTGATTTTTTCTTTACAAACTGGGAAAATACAGGGAATTTTGTTTCTTATTTTTGTCTTTTAAAAAATGGTGACCACTTAAAGTGTAATCTATGGGATATTCAACCATGATATTTCAGCTATACTAAACTATTTCATTTACTATAGCATTATTTAAGTATATTCAGCTGTTTTTCCAGCAATTAAAACTAATAAATATAGTTAGCCCAATATAGCTCACACAAGAGCACAGTAACTGTTGTTTCCTCTTAATATATAGTGCATAATATGTACAGGGAAAACACAGGGAATTTTTTTTTCCAGATTTGAGTGGCAACCCTGAATCAGTATCCATGTCCATTTTTTGTCACGTCGGTCACGGCATATTTTATTAGTTTAAATGTTTTTCACTTAATAAGATTATTTCGATATGAAAGGTCTAATTTTGCGATGGGTCAAACTTAGTTTGCAGTGTATTTACTTATGAATTTATATAAATAAACTAAAAAAAAACAAGTTGATAAGATAAATAAAAAAAATTTTTAATTTCGAAATTCGCGCAGCAGCTATAATATTTTTTGTTGTATGCATGTAAATTTACTGTAATTTGCTCTGTAATCTAATAAACATATTTATTTGAATTTATTAATTGTGTTTATTATCTTCACAGGACACAAAGATTACTTGTACAATTGTAACTAATGCACTTTACTTTCAAACCGAAAAATATTCCCTGCATTTTTATGATTGCAAATTATGTTAATTTTAAAGCCTAATACTGTATTTTGTATTTTTTGTGGTTCACTGCTCGAAAATTGTTATGTATCTCTGATAAATAGCATAGCAATTTTGGTTTATTCTGTTTTTATTTTCCCTTAAAATGCTTCTTTCTTTTTCGTGAGCTATTGAACTTCATTTAAACCGAAATGCAATGATAAATAATGAACATGTAATCTGCATAAATTAATAAGCATAAGTAACACAAAAATGTGTTAAAATTTGTTTATCTGAACAGTTTGCTTTTGACTTCGTACTTCTTTCCAGCTTAAACTCAGTTTTTTTCAACTGTTCATTACCAATATGAGAAAAGAAATTTTGATTTGTTTTGTGACAACATTGGTATAAGTGTTTTATGTAATATAGATTGTTTTTTTTTGTAGATTTTATATACCATTTTGAAAATTGCATATTCAATGCTTTAGTAATCTAATGAATTGTTTTGTTTAAAGATTGAATTTGTCATTTGAAATTGTGCGTTTATACATTTTAGACAAAAGCTGTTGGTGCTGCAATGCATAAAAAACAGTGGGAGGAAGCTGTGAAACTTCGAGGAAGGTAGTGATTTATTATCTAATATGCTTTTTTTTTTAACTATTGCTCTGTTAAATAAGGAAAATTAGTACATCAATACATCACATGTGTTAAATAATAGCTAATTATATGTATGTAAATAACATGAACAGGAAATTTTGAAAGAAAATATTGATGGCTGTTTTTCATATTAGAAGTACCACCATTAATCGTTGAATTCGGAATGATTGTGCTTCTGTATGTTCGATTCTGTGTCTTGGTACTAATGACATTCTTTAATTTCTTTCATAATGTGTTATTAATGCTTTTAATGTTTTTAAATTTTCTTACTATCTGCACAAAGAGAATTCTACTTTTTCTGGATGCTGCTCTATAATTTTGATAATTGTATATATACATAATTTTCTTAATTCTTAATACATAATTTTCAATTTTCATACATTGTTCAACAAAGCTGTAACAAAGAGAAATCATGAAAATTTCATCGTATGTCTTGTCATGAACACTTACAGATGAAAATTGAAATAATTTAAATAATAAATAATCAATTTGTATAGTTAATCAATAGACTCATGAACATTAGCATGTTGTGTATGTACTCACATTTTGTGTATGTGAACATTAGATAGCTGCTCTAATTGTTATAACAACTTACTTGCAACAATAATTTTTCTAAGTTAATTTTCATATCATGATAGACAGGTTTCAAAAGCTATTTTTGATTCTTTGTTTGTAAAGATACAAAATAAGTATATGTTACTTATTTGTCAAAGTTATTCTAAACCGTATTATCAATCTAATTTTAATGTCCCATTTTTTTTAAAGAATATTACTTTTTATTTTAAAGACTTTCTTATTGTTTTAGGAGCTTTGAGCGAAACTTACAAACTTATAAAATGCTGACAAGATTACGACCACCTAAGTCTGTTTGGGCCAAACAGGAACTTGGGAAAGTAAGTATAGTCATGGATGGAAGAAAATTTTTTGATTACATTTATATTATATAAATAGTTTACTAACTATTATAAAAGAAACAATTTACTAACTAAAATTTTAAAACTACTATATAATAAAAACTTTGAAACTATACCTCTATTTTACCAAATCAAATTCAAATATGTGTCCCATCTGTGAAAATTTATCATATTTTGCATACATTAGCATCTTACTTGTCCAAGCTAATCTGGAGCACCGCCAATTTAAATTACTATTATTTTTGTTAAGCAGGCAGTAATGCTACCATAGAATATTTTATCCAAATAAATACAGAAGTATATAGTTGTCAAAACACAGTAAAAAAATATGATTTTTTAAACAAAATACTACTTAATAAAAACAATATTACTTAGAGTGCTTGCTTATCTAATGCTATATCATAATTCAGATTCTCACAAGCTTAATTATTTTGCATGGATGTGCAATATCCTACTTCTTCATATAATTTTGAAATTATGAATTTGAATTATAATCTACACATGAAGCGAAGCATTTTTAGTGATGTTTAACAAACTATATACTGCATTTGTCATCGTCACAATAGTTAGTTAGTTTTTTACATGATTGTTCTCATCTTGATGTCAAAAACCTGTGTTCCATTTGCACATATTTTTTTTGTCACTGATTCCTTTTTACAAGATATTGTAACAAATTACTCATTTGAATTATCAATTCTACAATATTTTATATTAAATATTCTCAATTGCACTATGTGATTTCTTGGGTCATAAATATTGGTGAGATTATAATTGAATTATAAATTTTTATTGATAATATGAATATTTTTTATTGATATATTATTATAAATTTAATGTTTTCATTGCTGGTTTAGTAAGCTTTTTTTTCTCTTCAAAATGTGTATTGTTACAATTAGTGACAGTTTTTTTATTGCCGAAATTAATAAAAACATGATCATTAAAATAACCTAAGTTAATAGGAATGGGAGAGGAAATAAAATAGTAAGGATTAAAAAGTAAGGAAATAAAATAGTAGGAAGTAAGATTATTGTTCTGTTAACTGATGCATTACTATATTTTAATGCTTATTTGCGTTATGAATAAAGCACATTTTAATTTTTTTTTATTCCTGTCTAATATGAGATTTCTTTTCGTTGTGCTTCAAAACATATAGAAGGTATGTATAATTTAAAATCCACTTTTATTTAATTATTGAATGGAATTTGTGTCTAATAATTTATTTTTGTACTAGATAACTGAAATCTTTTAAAAAACTGCACAATATTTTTCTTCATTGCTGCAGTGTTTATTTATATTTTTTTTCAATGTTTTAGAAAAGATATTAAAATTAATTGATGTTTCAAAAAGCTTATATATATATATTGTGAATTTGTGAACTTTTTCTTTATGAATGATAAAAGCATGTTGCAAAGCAAGTATTTTTCTCAAAATTCCTTAAGTTTTAAAATATCTGTGCTGCAAAAGGATTATTTTGTAAAAATATATGCTTAACTACATATTTGTTATAAAATTAGCATTTTTTGCAAATTTGTAATGAGGCTAATTTTTTTTTAGCTATTATGTAGAAAATCAGAAATTTAAGTTAAATTTAATTTTTAAAAAAAATAGTTTTGCTTTAAACAGCTAGAAAAGTATCTCAAAAGTACAAAAACAAATCAAAATAATTTTTCCATACTACTTTAAAACACCTAATTCTCAATAACTCCCATGGTGATTTTTCATCTTACTAAAATGCTTATAAAGTTTTAATAAACTTTAATAAAACAAACGTTAGTGCAATAAAGTCCTGGATGTTAATTGTAAAAGTTGATTTTTTAGATCCCATGTTATGAATTAAAATATTAATTGCGATTGAAGTGTTAATTTCAACGAAGAGCAAAAATTTATTAATCAACAACAGTTTATTAAATTAATTAACAAAACACCAACTTAGATGTCGTACATATCAACAATATTTTGGTTTCCATGAACCTAAAATAGCCTTATAATAAAAGCAAAATGTTTACTATGAAATTCGTAATTACCATAGAACCTAAAAATAAATTGGTGAAAAAAATAGTTGGTTTTATAAAAAGTAAATAAAATGAAAAGGTCAGAGTTGTTAAAATTCCCCAAGGCTTTAACAAAATTTATCACAAAATGCAATTCCTTAATATTGTTACTTTATCAAAAATAATTATTTTTTATTATGTTTAAAAAATTTTATTCTTTGGTGTGTCTTTATAAATTTATTAATTTTCTTTATAGCTTATTGTTTTGTCTGTTTCAGAAAGGGTATACCTTGGCTGTCATGCACGTTGGTGCCCCTTGTTGTGGCATGAATGCAGCTGTCAGATCATTTGTCAGGAATTGCTTATACAGAGGAGACACTGTTTATGGCATACATGATGGTATTGATGGACTTGTAGACGGAAATGTAAGTTTCAAAATCAAATTGTTCTTTCTGATCATTGATAATAATATTAATTAAGGTTCTTAGAGCATTCCACAATATTATATGAATTTTTAAATTTGTTAGATTTTTTTTATTTAAAATTTTTTATATCTGAACTAAAAGTATGAAAATATTTTAATTCTCAATGTATCCATAATTATTTTAAATAACCATGAGATTTTTTGTAGATGTAGGTTAATTGTAAAGTGTTTTAAAATGTATTAAATAATTTGTTTTTGTTTACCAAGCAATTCTTAAACATTAAATTCTCGCTATGCAGAATTTGTAAAATTTCACTATGTATATGCAATATATAGAAAATATTTTTCCCACACGAGGAAAGATATATATTTTTTTAAACTGTCTACACAATTTTGAAAATTGTGATTAAAACTTTTAGTAATTTGTCTTATCTGTTTTCTGTGTTGTTAGTGCTATGATTAATATTTAAGAATATTTTTATTTCTCATAATATATTATTTATGCTTGATTATAAATTTATATGTTTGCATAAATTTAATAAAAAGAGCCAATTTTTCTATTTTATTGAATTGAAATTCACTATTAGTGGCATTTTAAATTGGCATAATAAAAACTTAATTTAAATGAAACCCTATTTCTTGGAAGGCATATTGAGAATGAGATTGGGTAACCTCTTTTTTTATTGTAAAACAATAATTATTGTTAATTTGAATAAATGAGCTATGTATTAGCTTTTAAGTTTTGAAAATACTGTTAAAGACATTGTGTTTTCCATCCCATAAATCTATATCTTTGTGTATTGCTACTAAACTGAACTCAACGGCACGACAGCCCTTGAGGACCAAGGCCTACTGTGCCCATCTCAGTTTTCTTGACCTGTGGGCTCTGGGGTGCAGGAACAGATGTTCCGGTCAGGTGGTCAGCCGAACGCGGAACCCCCAGTGTTTAGCTCCCAAGCATGCTTGGTACTCATTTATCGACCCACTGAAGGGATGAAAGGCTGAGTCAACTTTGCCCGGCCCGAGGATCGAACCAGGGACCTGTGGCACAACAGCGCGAAGCGCTATTGCTCAGCCACCGGGCGTCAAAGATCCAGGTTACCTTAAAATAACTTGGTTTTTGCCTTTAGTTTTTAACTTCCCATAGTTAAGAGGAAACTTTACTATAGGAGAAATCCGTTAAATTCTATTTAACCTACACAGTCTATGCTCTTCAGTGCAGCTTTTCAATTATAACGACCATGAGACACAGAGTTCCATTTTCTATGTTAAAAAGATATTGATATGTTACATTTTATTATTGAGCAATAGATGTGTCCATTGCATCTCCGTGTGAAAATAAGTCTCCCTGGTATGCATTCATTACCTTTGTTAGAAGTTTCTTTTCAAAGGGTTCAATAAATTTATCAATCATATTTTTCTTCTTTGAAAACTCTATTTACAAAAAGATGTGAAGTGTTGTAATAGGTGTGTTATTTTGGAGGTAAAACAATTGGCATTCACATTTTTCTTGATTCTATATTAGCTTTGACTTAAGGTTTTCTGGAATTACGTTATTTAGCAAAAATGGTTGGTCGTAACCTGTGCTTTTGCTTGGAAATTAAAAATTTTGAAGGGAGTGGATCGAAAAAAATACCAAAATAAGAAATTGTTAAAAGCAAAAGCAAATTATGCTAATTATTTTGGAAAGATTGAATTCCTTCAAGCATTTCTCCACTGAAATCTTGAACATCTACATTCAAATAAAAAAAAACTGTGTTATTATTACATTACTTGTTATATTGAAGGGACAAAAATTGTAATTGTGCTTTTAATGTGTTATGCTCTATAGTATACTTGTGCTTTATTGACTTTAAAATTATTACCAGTTTCAATACCCTTTTTAAAGTAAAGCAAGATTTTGTCAAAATAAGTTCAATATTTATTAGTGATTGTTAAATATTTACAATAGTTTTTTGTACTCAAGACATAGTGACCTCACATTCCACCGGGATCCTTATATTGAGCACTACAATTAAAATTTAAATTTAAAATTTTAATTATAAATTAAAATTTAAAGTGTTGGGAAAAACGTAAATTCGTGTAAACCATGAAGCTTCAGATGATTAATTTTTTTTCTTCTTCAAAATGTCAAAATGGAAATAATTAATGACAGTAATACACAATTGAAAAGTAATCCTGCCATAATTTATTTGTACTTTGAAGAAAAAAATTCATCTAAAGCTTCCTGGTTTACTTTTAGTTTATATGAACTCTTTTTTTTCTTCTTCTAAGCTTTGAAGTCCGGCAGTGGACTGATCGTAAAGACATGGTTACCAGTAGAACACCGAAGTCAAGCATCATGGTTAGTGAGCTGGTGGGCGCAGGGCCGTCTTTAAACTATTTGAGGCCCTGGGCACATTAGGATCATGGGGCCCCTATGACCTTGAGAAAACACTATTTAGTTACANCAGTGGACTGATCGTAAAGACATGGTTACCAGTAGAACACTGAAGTCAAGCATCATGGTTAGTGAGCTGGTGGGCGACCACTTTGATCAGGTTTCGTAAGGACTGAGGGTGTTCGGGATGGTTCTCGTTAAAATTTTCTACCATAAAGTGCTCTACTTTGAGTGCAGGTCATCAGGCTACCAAAGCAGAGGAGCCCCCCCCCCTCCCCTGCAGATGATCAAAATTGCTATGGCATGTCTTCGGATCATCATCAGGGATATTTCCGAGACAGTTGCCAATAGCCCATTGTTTAGCTCTAGTGCGACATAAACAATGTACCTACCTATGGCATGTCTTCGGATCAACATCAGGGATATTTCCCAGACAGTCGCCAATAGCCCATTGTTTAGCTCTAGTTCGACATAAATAATGTACCTACCTACCTATCTAAACTTTGAATTTTAAATTACCAATGGAGGTCAATCTGAGATTGCCATGAAAGGTTTTTTGCATGTGTCTATATCATGGGAGATATGTAGTTAGCTCATGGTCCTAAGAAATCAGTCATTAGAAAAAAATTTCTCGAAAATGAGTGTGAAATAAAAAAGTTTTTTTTTCAGTTTAAGTAATATTTAAAGTAATGGATACTAAAACATATTTTTAAAATATTGTATTTTAATGTTTGAGGTTATGTCCTTAAAAATTTCATTTCAAAAATAAGAATTATTTTCATTTATTAAAAACAAACCTAACTTTTAGATAATGATGATGAATATGCATGTACTTGCTTTGAAAAATACATTTTTCTCTGTTATCTGTCTGCCAAATATTGATTTTTTTTTATTTGTTTACTGAAATAGTTTCAAGAAATGCAGTGGTCAGATGTGACAGGATGGGTAGGACAAGGTGGAGCATTTTTAGGAACTAAAAGGTTTTTATGGTTTATTCAATTCTGATAATCAATCAATTTGATCAATAAATTGTAATAAAATCTTTTTTTAGAATTTTTAGACCTATTTTTTATACATATGGATTTGTATTCTTTATCTAACATGTAAATAATGAGTTTGCATCTGCATCAAAAAGGTTATGTAAAATGAACATTATTAGCTTAATTGCATATAAAAGAATCAGTATGAAGTACTACTTTATTTAGAATATAATAATTGCTTCATAGTTTTTTTTTACTTACTAGAACATTGCCGGATCAGTATATGGAACAAATTGTTGAGCAGCTCAAAAAATTCAAGATTGAAGCTCTATTAGTAATTGGTGGATTTGAGGTAAAAATATTTGACTATTTAAAAATATATATTAAATTCCTTATATTGCTTAAAGTATAAAAATAAGTTGACATTTTTAAAAATTCATTTTTAATTTTTTTTAAATATGTGTAACTTCAAAATTACTCTAATTTTTATATTTTGAATTTACAAACATGATAAAAACTTTTTTTTAAGAAAATCAATCATAATTACAATAATATATTCCACAGTTTAGAATTTAAATTGTTTTGAAAACATCTTCCATCACTCTGTATATTAATTAATATGGATATATTTTTTCCTTCACTTTAATTCTTATAATTCATATTGATTAATATTAGATTAATAATGTTAATGAGATTTAATTTATTTATTTGGGTATTAATAAACTTTAAAATAGTATTAATTTTCTTTTAATTACTTTAATTTTCTTTTAAGTAATTTTAACTAAACTTTGTAATTGTTTGCCAACATGTTTTACTTAAAGCTTTTTTTTGTAATGTAACTGTTAGTGTAGCTATTATTTATTGATCAGTAAGTGAAAATCTTTTAATTGTACTGTAATATCTCATCTATTTTCCGTAAATTATAAATAAACTTTTGTTCTATTTGTGTATGTGGACTTGGATGTCTCAATAAAGACTCAATTACCTTTGCCTCTTTTATAATTCTGTATGCTTTTAGGCTTTTCATTCTGTTCTTCAAATGGCAGAAGAACGAAAGAAGTATAAAGAATTACAAATTCCTATGTGTGTTGTGCCAGCTACCATCAGCAACAATGTTCCTGGCACCGATTTCTCTCTGGGAGCTGACACAGCTATAAATGAAATCACTGAGGTATCTGCGTAATGATTTTTAATCATTAATATTATACAAGTTTTTGTGGGAATATACTATTGTTTTAATTGCTAATTAAATTGTTACAAAAATTTTAATATTTATATTCAAGCATTATTTTACATGAATCTCATTATTTGAAAGTTGTTATAAAATTTATATGAATTAATATTTAATCTTAAAGAATGAGTATTTGAATTCAAATATTATTTTATATGAATCTATTATTAGTTGAAAGTAATTCACATATTGCTATACTGTTTCTAATTAAAAGTATTGACTTGGTATTTTTAAATAAAGTTCCGAATTAATAATCAAGAGCAGGGCATGAAATTTCAATTCTAAAGGTTCTACCCATTCTAAAATTCTTGCTCGCTACTATTTTCCCAAAAAATATTAATTTTTTTTAATGGTTTGAATATCATTATCATATATCATTTAATGGTTTGAATATCATTATGTATCATTATAAGTCATTGTTGTTGACGTATGCCTGTTTTAGGCAGAAGGGGTGCGATTGTTCTTGCTTTCCAGTGACGCCATCTATGGCCAAGAATTCGACTTCTGCCACACCATACGTCACACCCTTTTATAGGGCAGACCCATTCATTCATCCACAGATCGTAATTTTGACCTGAATCAGAGAACGATCGATCTCCAATCCAGTACTTCCAGAGGTATTGATTTGTTATAGGAACATGGAGGACTTTTGCGACCCGACAGATTTAACGTGCATCAGTCACTTTACTACACTATCTTCACGTCACTACTACACGTCTTCGACCGGCGGGGTTGGAACCCACGAACTCTCGGACATGGGCCCACCGCCTTACCGACCAGGCTATCCCGGCCTATTATAAGTCATTCAAATTAGTAAAATATCAGAGATATCATCTATTCTTTGCAAACCTAGTGTCAAGCTTGGTAACTCTCAAACTTTTTCACTAGTCCCACTTTATTATTCACGTATCAAAGGCTTTTATTCACAAGTCAAACGCTATTATTCAATAGTCAAACTGTGTTACACACCGTTATTTACTCACAAGCGCCTAATATTGGATTGCCAATGTTGAGCTGACTAGTAGAAACTTTAAATCCTGATCTAGAGTACTTTAATTTATGTATAATTATTGTAATTAATCTTACTACGTAAAAGATTCAGAGTTTATATTATTAAAATGTTCAATTAATAAATATATGTTTCCCACAATTTAATTATTTTTAGATTTGCGATCGAATACGTCAATCAGCCCAGGGCACGAAGCGCAGAGTATTTGTTGTTGAAACGATGGGAGGTTTCTGTGGCTATTTGGCTACACTGGCAGGTTTAGCTGGTGGTGCTGATGCTGCTTATATATTTGAGGAACCTTTTTCATCCAGAGATTTAATGGGAGATGTTCATCACATGCAGTCTAAAATGGCTGAAGGAGTGCAAAGAGGTTTGGTTTTGAGGTATAATTTAACTATTGCTATTTTGTAAAGAGCTTTTGTATGAAAAGAAAACATATCAATACCATAGTAAAATGCTAAAAAACAATCTTTTATATCAGTTTCTAATGGTAATTAAGCGCTAAGAGGGGAAAAATTATATCACTGCCTGGAATTAAATTATAAATTTTTTCCTAGATTAATTTATTTTATATGGCCTGGATAGGTCAAAAGTTCTTTTTATATTTTACAGGGTTGCCACAGGCAACTAAAATGCAACTATTTTTGGCATAAGGCGACTATGGCAACTTTTTTTTGCCTGAAAAGGTTAAAAAAGCAACTATTTTCAGAAAAAAGAGACTATTGGAAGACTTTTCTGTACTCCAACAATGTTTTTTTTTTTTAAAAAAAGCATAAATTGTGTTAAAAATCTGCACCCCACAAAATAGTTTTGGAACACACTGAACTTTTTTTTTTTAAATAAAAAGTTTTGAATTTCAAATTTGAGTGTTCATTTTTAAATTCGTTCAATCTGCTCAGATTCCATTGTAACTCTATTTCATTTCTCGATCTCCTTTTCAATGATTATTGCTACGAAATTCCGCATGAATTTTAAAAAAAAATCCATAAAACATTAACGTTTATATAAAAATTATCATATTTGCCACCAACTTGACTGAATGGATCATGGTATATGACAATTATGTCATTAACAAAATTTTAGTCATATTTTTGATGAATTTCTGTTCTTATTTAGGCAAATATTTTCCTAGTTTTTAGCTACTATTTTCATGATTTAGGCTACTAAAAGCAACTATTTTGTTCATTTTTTTCTGTGGCAACCCTGATTTTATTATTACTTTTTGATAGAATTAAAATATGACTTTTATTTACAAAACAAAGAAAACCTTCTTTTTTTTTTAAAGGATTTGGAATTTTTACACTTAAAGTTAGTTGTAATCAGGAAAATAATGTTCAATACCTAAAGTGCATTCATAAATTTAAATTTCATATTTTTTCTCCTTTCTTATATTTAGATTTTATATTTATGCAGTAATATTTCAATTATCCAGATGTTTCTGTTAATAAAACTCTGTTCCAATTCTTTTTACTCATATACATCATTTTTTTCTCATCACATTTTCAATAACATGATATTTAAGTTCAACTGCAAGTAAGATCTTTGAAAATCGTAAACATTCTTTTGTGCTACATCACTATGTAGAATTTATCATTTCATGTGAGTAGCGAATAATTATTTTGTTGCTCGCATTAGAAGTTAGTTGCCTTAATTTTTCTAAAAAAGTCTGAATAGTGTAATTTTTGTTGTTTCATTCTTATTTTAATTAATACTAGTGTAGCTTAATTTAGTAACCTTATACTTTTATACCATATACTTTATACTTTTTCTGAAAGGGAACAAGTTCTGTTGTCTGTGCATGGAGGATACAATACTGTATTGCAAAGGGAATGATAAAAGAGCTATACAAAACTTAAAAAAAGAATTTTAAGCTAACAAAATCAGCTAGCGATTCCAAATTAGGCAGTGCTTTATACAAAAGGTTTATTTAAAAATAAAGCTAAAGAGAAGTGATATCTAGACTAATAATGCTGGGAAATTTTAAAGTTACTATCTTAATTCATATTTGACAGAAATACATTTAATAAATAGTCATACAAAACTAAACTATGTGGCACGAGAGCCTGTGGAAGGCCAAGACCTGCCGTACCCAACACAGTTTTCTTGGCCTTTGGCTCTGGGGTGCAGGATGAGATGTTTCTGTCGGGTGGCCAGCCAAACGTAAACCCCTTGTGTTTAAAACCAAGCATGACCTTTTTTGGGGGCTCTTTTTGGTGCTTTGTTTGGTGCTCTTTTAATCGACCCATTGAAGGGATGAAAGGCTTAATTAACCTTGCTTGGTCTAAGGATAGAACCCTGAACCTATGGCACAAGACTGAAAAGGCTTCTACTTAGATACTCGACCTCAAATAGTTATATTAAAATTAAATAATATGTAGTAAATTTTGTAGTAATTTTTGTATATGTAGTAATTTTTTTAAATTTTGATTCAGAGTTTATTAATAAATGATTAAAAAATCAGTTTAACCTCAATAATCTGAATATTTTAATTATTCAAAGTAAATACAGTTCCAATTGCTTCAAATAATCTGGAATCTATGGTATATGTATAATATATAATGGTTATTCTAAATTTAATATTATCTGGCTATTGTTAAAAGTTATTTATTTTATTTTTTAAATGAGACCATGACTCTTAACAGTTAATTAGCAAAAAAATAAAATGAATTTTTTTTATTTTTTGTTGATGAAACAATTATGTATAATGTGATAAATATTTGATTTTAGAAATGAAAAAGCCAATGAAAATTATTCAACTGACTTCATTTATCGTTTATATTCAGAAGAGGGGAAAAAAATATTTTCAACTAGAATGAATGTTCTTGGTCACATGCAACAGGTAATGTTTTTGAAAAAGCGTGACTTTTGCTTCGATCTTATCAGCATTATTGTTTTAATTATTATATTTGAATCTACATAAATAATATGCATTTTCTTTAATATAATATTTTCAAAATCGTAAAAAGTTCTGCAGGTTAATTTTTAATAATTTGAAAAGTAAGTAGTTTAGTGTATAATGATTTGTTTTCATTATACACTAAAAGCAGTTTAAAGAAAATGATTTAATGTATCTGTTTTTTGTTTAACCTTTGAAGTATAAAGTAAAGCATAATTAAATTTTAAAAAATTGTACATTCAAAATAGATTATTTTCTGTAGTTATTAAATTAAAGCTGATTGTCTAGAGGGCAAAAGCTATATTTCTATGCCTATTCTATATTTGTTCTTATCTTTTAGATTTGTAACTTTAATTTCTCTATTACCTTTTGTAACTTTTGTTGCAAAAATATTTTGATTGCAGCACAGCATATAAAAAAAGAGCTTTGGGAAAAAAATGTAAGAAACATCTAAAATAAGTGTTATTGAAAATTATAAATCTAATTAAATCTAGCTTAAAGGATATTTAGCACAATAAATGATGTCCAATCAAATTCACACTGATTGAATTCAAAGATGGCTACATAAGCTTTAAATACAGATTGGAAACATTTGATTGGTTGATTATGTCCAAATTTTTATGTATGAAGTTATCAATGCATTGCAAGTTTTAAAGGTTGGTGTGCAGGGTGAAGCCCATTGGTATCAGAGAAATATGCAATGTTGTGGTGAATATTTTGATTTGTTGAAGATGTTGATGATTAATATTTGTTCAAGAAATTGGGAGGCAGTATAATATTTATCCTGAAGATGATTTACATAAGTTGAAGAATCAAATTGATAAATAATAAACATTTTATTTTTGAAATCATGTAGCTATAAAGTAAAGAGGAATCTAATCTTTATTTTTATGTACAAAGAATTATTAAATATATTACATTTTGAAAATAACCTAAAGACTGTGGCTGCCGGAGGAAGGACAGGACACCTCCGTTCACCAAGAAATCAAAAATACAAGTGTAATAATGTATACATTAGAATAGTTTTCGCCAAGAAAATTAAAAATTCATGTATTGGCTATTAATTGTTTTATTTACTTTCCAAGGCTCTTTTAATTAGTCTTGTGCATTCAAATGTCTTGGTGTAAAAGAAAATGTGAAATATATTAAGAAATTTCAATAAAATCAAAACATTTAGCAACCATGTAAGGGTTTTTGAATTCTATGCCAATGTAGAGGGAATCTCTAAATATTGATTTTATTCTGCACTCAATTTAAGGTTGTGGTATAAAAAGATTATAGATTATATTAATGTTTTTTATTTATTTATTGAAAACGAATTTAAAAAAATAATAATTTAGTTTTTAAATGGTAAGAAATACATTATGCATATATTTAAGCATGACAAATATATATTTTTCTGTGATATTAGGGAACATTTTTTACATTTTTCGTTTAGCTCTGCATGAAGCATGAGAAAAGAGGTAGGGCACATCATTAGATTAGGATTGATTTAATGAGTTTTCTGTCACCAAACCATTCAATTACTATAAAATAGCTATTTCTGTGTGTTGGAAACAAACTCATTCACCATTTTTTATTTGTGTGCATCTTTAAAGATTGTACTTGAAGTTAAGAGGTGCATCGATAGAACAACATCAAAAAAAATTTTTATTGTATTTATATTTAATCTCCATTAAATGTTTTTCTTTTCTCTTTTAATAAAATGTATGCACAGCTTGGGAGGTGGTCCCACAGTACATTTCGACTTTAATTCAGGCACAAAAGCCAATTTTTATAATTTCTTTTTAATTACATAAATTATCTTTTATTTTAGTAAATTTTCACTTGGAGAGGTTGCAAAACAGCTTTCATTCTATAAGTTAACTTTTGTATTGTGCATATATTTGCTTTAATAAATTAGTATTTTTTACTTTAAATCTAAATTCTAAATCAAAATATTTTGATGGAAATATATTCTTACTGTCATTTTAAAAAAATTGTTTTTTTCATCTTAAATTTAGGGTGGCAGTCCATCTCCTTTTGATAGGAATTTCGGTACTAAAATGGCAGCAAAAGCTACTGATTGGCTTTTAACTCAACTGAGAAAGTTTAAACAACCAGATGGTTCAATTTCATGCTCTGATCCTGAAACAGCAGTTCTCATGGGACTTGTTAGAAGACAATATCTCTTTTCTCCTGTGCAGTCTCTAAAATCTGCAACTGATTTCAAGTAAGTTCAACTTCTTTTTTTGGAAAATTGTTTTTAAGTGAAAAATGAACCAGTTTGTGCTTTTTTAGTAGGAAACCCTACATTCGCAACCTTTTTATTGTAATCATCAAATTATAAAGTGTGTATTTTCTTTTCTATAGATACAATTTTTAATGTCCTTTTGAACTAAACTCTTTATTCCCATGTAGCAACTGAAATTTAATTTCATTCATCCCTTTTCAAGATAATCTCATCATAAACATCGTCACCATCACAACAGCCCATAACGGGCTTTGGTCTTCTCTAGAACATAATATTTCTCCATGTAACTCTCCTTGTCTCTAAAACTTGCCAGTTCAATACTCTAAACTAAACAAAACTCAGTGGCACGACAGCCCATAGAAGGCCAAGACCTACTGTGCCCATCTCAGTTTTCTTGACCTTGGGCTCTGAGGTGCAAGAGCAGATGTTCCGGTCTGGTGGTCAGCCGAACGCGGAACCCCCAGTGTTTAGTTCCCAAGCAGCTTGGTACTCATTTATCGACCCACTGAAGAGATGAAAAGCTGAGTCAGCCTTGCCTGACCCGAGGATTGAACCCAGGACCTGTGGCACGGAAGCACGAAGCGCTACCACTCAGCCACTGGGCGTCCAGTTCAATGCTCATATTGTTTTAAAATTCATGTTAATGGAGACCAGTTATGAAAGTTTTGGACATCCTCTAGCTTGGTTACCAATTGGTTGATTTTAAACTTGTTTTTATTAACTAACTTCATAAACTAGTTTAATACGTATTTGCACTTTCTAAACAAAATAGAAAATTCACTAAAAGTTAGAAAGAAATTATTTAAACCATTATTTCTTTTGATATTACCACTAACACATATTGTACTTGAAATATGTTTAATCATTTTGAATAAAGGGAGAGGGATACTTATTCTAAGTGACTGCAGTGTTGTCAAAACCTTAGATCAAAAAGTTGGGAAAATATTAAATACTTCGCATTATTGGTAATCAAAATAATCTAATACTTTATTACATGGAAATCTGCATGACATTTGATTCATTAGATTAAAATAGATGCCTTTTGAAGATATAAAATTTTTCTAATTGTACAATGAATATTTTAAACATGCTTTCCTTGTTTGGAAATTTAATTTTCTCTCTCTCTCTGTTTTTGGGTGTGTGTAACGTTAGTTTCCATAGATTATTTCTAAGTTCTTCTCATATCCAGATTTTTCTTCTGCTTTTCATGTTATGAAATTCTCTGTGCATAAGTTATTTAATTAAAAAAAAATGGCTGTGATGATTTGTTTTAATTTATCAGTTTCCTAATTTTATATAGGTTTTTTAAGTATATAAGTTAGTCCAGTACTTGCTTGTTATGAATAAATATTTAAGATATTTTGCACACACACATTATAGTGACCACACATTATGAAATCCATTTTAGCTTGGACAGTGAGAGTTTCTGTAGTAAAAAAGATTTATGTGTTAGCATCAAACTAAACTCAGTGGCGTGACAGCCCATGGAGGGCCAAAGCCTACTGTGCCCATCTCAGTTTTCTTGACCTTGGGCTCAGGGGTGCAGGAGGAGATGTTCCGGTCAGGTGGGCAGCCGAACGCGGAACCCCCAGTGTTTAGTTCCCAAGCATGCTTGGTACTCATTTATCGACCCACTGAAGGGATGAAAGGCTGAGTCAACCTTGCCCAGCCTGAGGATCGAGCCCAAGACTTGTGGCATGGGAGTGCGGAACTCTACCCTTCAGCCACCGGGCGTCATGTGTTAACATCAGCTTTTATATAAATTACAGTGAAACTTTGCATTAATGAGCCCAAAGAATAATTCTATAATATTGGTGATTTTAAAAGTTTTAGAGATAATTATTTAATTATTCAAATCTTCAATGTAAGAGCGTAAAGAGTGAAAAAAAAATATCTCTGTCCCACAAATAAATGCTTTGCTATTAAGTTCTATATTGAAAATAAGTGAGAATTTAAAAGCTTTCTTTTGTTTTGTCTAAAACAATGTTGGGTAACAACCCGTTTAATGTGAAACTTCTTTTAAGATTGATTCCATCTATGTATGCAATGTCTTATGAATCTATAAATTTATAAACTTAATTTTTTTTAGGCATAGGATACCGCAACATCAATGGTGGCTGAAACTTCGCCCACTTTTAAGAATTTTAGCTAAACATGATTCTTCTTACATTATGGAAAGCATAGACTGTCCTACTGTGCCTGAAGAAGACGATTAAAGACTATGCATACAATTCTTTTCAATACTAAACAGTAATTCTTTTTTTCTAACGAGAAAATGAAGAGGGATTTTAATATGGCAGCATATGTTTACTTTTCATGTTCAATATCTGAATGATACACCATGTGTATATCAACGTCTGAATAGAAATGCATTTGTTTCATAATATGCCTTTAAGCATCCTATTAAATTTTTATATATATATATATATGTATACAGTCGGACTTCTATTTAACGAACTAACTTCCATTTTGCGAATTTCTTTTTTTTGCGATTTTTTTTCAAGGAACCAAGAACATTTTTTGGAAATTTCTTCGTAAAATGACTTCCAAATAGCGAAGTGAATTTTCTATTTAACGAACTTTTCTTTGAGATCCACTTTCCTCATTTCCCAAAATATAACAAAACATCTCAAACTTGTGAACATATTTTATGGGGAAAATGACTTTGAATTGATTATTGAAACCAATTAACTTTTAGAGAAAGAGGCAAAATCCCTTTTTGTTTGCATTTCGAACGAAAAACTTAAGACAAAATTAATGAATTTTATCAGTAGCAATTGAACTTAAGATCCCATGTGGCAATGTATGTTTAAAACTACTTTTATATTAAATGCAGCTATAATTTTATACATAGATTTAACTTATTTAGTTAAAAATGTATGTAGCATGATAGTGTAACATTAGATAATGTTTCGCTTTATTCTTGCTTTCCATGCAGATTTCTTTTATGGTTAAGATTTATAAAATCAAAAGATTTATATAATAAATAGATTAATAAAATCAATTGCTATTTTAATTATATCTATTGTTTATGAATTTAAAACCTGTTTTGTGTTGTTTAAGTATTTCAAAAGGCTATTTTCTATTTAACGAATTTTCCATACAACGAACTTATTATCGGAATCTAGTGACTTCGTTAAATGGAGGACCAACTGTATATATATATATATATCCTATTGATAATCAGCATTAGAAAAGTTAAGTTTGAAAAGGAGTCTGTATTTCTTTATAATATGTGAAAGTATTCTTGTATGTGATATTTGAATTTCATTGCATAATTTGCGTACTCCTGCTAGGATTTACAATTATTGTGTTACTGCCAAAAAAAGACTGAGCTCCCATTTTTTATACATTTTTTTCTCTCCATCTTTTAGGGTATCTTTTTGAGTAATGTGATTGTCATCTGTGCATGAATAATTTTTCTCCCATTCGTTCAGTACCATCTAAACTTAAGAGGCATGATAGTTAACATATTTATCAAAGCAAAAGCATCCATAATTAGCCACCATGCAACTAAAATGCTTATAATACTAGTAAATTTAATATCTATATTTATGTGACGTTTTGTCTATAACTATAACATATTATTTATATATAAAGTAAAATAAAAAGTTTTAGTATTTTATTCAAATTTAGTTTTTGTTTACAAAACTTAGTTGTATTGAAAAAGTTTGTGTAATGTTTTTATTTTGTTAAGTTTCTTTTACATTTATTAAATAAAATTTTACTTTTGAGTGATGTTTTAATAAATAGAATTTTAATGTACTTTTTTTAAATTATTGTTGTTTAATTGTATGTTTAGGTGAAAATTTTGTTACTGTTTTTATAATTCTAAAATATTGATAACATAGTATGTTGTCAGAACAATGAACACTCGTTTTAGTGTGTTTGTTTTTATATAGTGAATATTATATAGAGATTATGTTATTAGTAATTATATTATCAATTTTGATAATGTTATGGTAATCAAAAAAAGAAGTTTTTGCAAAAGATTTATTTATGATTTTTAATTTTCTTAAGTGTTTGTCATAAGTCTTTTTTAAGTTTATAATTAGTAATGCATGCAGAATGAGATTTTAAACTCCAGATTCTGATCAAAATTATAGTTAACTAAACTTATATAAACAGTCTATGCTCTTCCTCAGGACCCCCTTATTACTGCGACTCTTCGATTATAATGACTGCTATATTTAGTGCTGTTTCATAAACACAATGTTATTTTAATGCCTTTTAGAATGTCCAAACTGAATTGTTCATTTCAATGTAGCATTCAAAATTTTGTTCCATTTTTTTTTTAATTCTCAGAAAAATACTCCAAAAATAGATGTTAAACATTTTTGAGCTTTTATAGCTAATATTTTTCCATTGACATCGAGTAAATCAATAACAAAAATCCCCAAAACACTTGTGTAATAAGTATTTCTTTTGATGTTACTGCTCGATAAACATGAAAAATATTGAACTCTCTATGAAGGAAAAAAAAGATTTTGGACGAAATCTATGGTCAAAAGAATTGGAAAATATCAATTAATTACCATTATTAAAAATTTGAAGTCTATATTTTATCATCATTTAAGAATTAGATTTTTCTGTACAGTCATAACCTTTCTAAGTTTCTTTTCAAATGGTTCAATGTATTCATCAATCATATTTTTCATGTTCAAAAATCGTATACAATATTTTTGTGAAGCGTTGTAAGAGACAGTTTATATGGGAGTTCAAACACTTTGTATTAAATGCATTTTATTGATTTTTGTTTTGCGCAGGAAAGTATGTTATTTAACGAAAATGGCTGCTCCTTACCAAAGTAGCAATGCATACTTAGAGCAAAAATTAAAATTTTTTAACGAAAGTGAATAGAAAAATAACATTAAAATCACAAATTATTTAAGATCCCGAAAAGCACTCAGTTTACAATAATAAAAAATTGTGATATAATTCTATGTTCCGATTTCATAACGACGTTTTTGTGAAGCAAAATTTAGAAATCTACAGAAAACCCTGAATTTTAGACCGCTCAATGCTAAAAGATATTGAAAAGATTGAAATGTGTTTTTATCTTTTAACGTATAATATTAAGTATAATACTCTATTGACATTTAAAAAAACTGCGTACTAGTCAGCTTTGTAATTCTATTTAAATTGTAAAACTTTTTTGCCTAAATAAGTCCAGTATTTATGAAATATAAGTAAATATTTGCATTAATTTTATGTAGTCATGATATAGCAAACTCACATTATAGCGTCCTTTTCCATCTGGACCACTAGGGTTGTTATATAGAGCATCGACTGTGTGTATATGTTTGTATATAATTTTTATTGAAATGACATTCAGTTAGAATATTTATCAGTTTGATTCTTTTTAGCAAATGTCGTTTTATTTTTACTCTTAATTTACAAACATGCGTTTCATATTTCTTAATTTTTTCATGAAAAGATTGACAATCGTGCAAGGAAATTAAATGAGAGTTCAATTACTGTAATAGGTGCCAATCAATTTACTAAGAAAACATGTCATTGTTATACAATCTTCTTCCTTCATTCAGAAAACCAGGGCATAACCTTTAACACACATGATTATTTATTTTTTATTCTTTTTCATTTAATTATGGCAAGAAATGTGAAACTTTCCTTGATATTTTTATGTCATCGTATAGTCAAACACTTTTTTCCCTTTTGCATTTATTTTGGTTGTATCTGTGTTGCAAAAATTTCTTTATATTTATTAATTTCTTTGAAGATACAGCAATATTTATGATTATATTTGTTTATTTTAGTTTACACTTGAGTTTAAATGTTATTGTTTTTTAAAAAATTTTGTTTTAAATTGCTGGTTAACCTTTTGCTTATGGTTAATACAAGAGGATTAGATTGACAGGTTCACAATGTTTTAAATGCTGTAAGCAAAAGGTCATTTATGTTTTTATTCATTAGTTTGCATTCCATTTTTAAGAATCGGGATTATAAGAACTGCTTGTTAATTTTATGCATTGTTTCGTTTTATAAAAAAGAAATGTGTTTTTTTTTCTTTTATGTTTTCGTAAATGTTTATATACACATTTTCAACTATATTAAATTTTTTGTGTAGACATTGACTTTTCAGCGATTATCTAATTATTTTTTAAGAAATTTTTATGATACTCAATAGTGCCTTTATTGTCATATTTTTTTTACCAAAAACAATATGCCAAAGAAATCACCATTTAGATTATTTTGATTCCTTTCAATAATTAAGAAAATCCATATGTGAAATTATTTTGATGATTTTATTTATTTAGTTTTATAAAACTTCTCAATTATTTATTTGTTTTGAAATCTTAATTTGCTATCAATTTATATTTACTGTAATCACTTAGAATAGTTACAATGTTCTTTATTGTACATGTCAAAGAGTATATATATTCAACTTTTATTGTAAGTTACATTGATTGTCAACATGAGTGTTGGAGTAGCATGTTCAAGAAGAAATTTACTTGTGGGTAATTTCCATTGATACCCAAATTGGTCACATCATAGCTTGATTTTCAGCATGATTGATGTAATTACATGTAAAGTTTGAATCAGCTTGGCCATGAATTCCTATTTGTCTGTCTTTCTTTCGTTTTAAAATTATAAGTAATAAAAGCCAGTAAAGGTATCAAGATTAGCATTCACTGACATCAGGTTTCTTAAGCAACTATATTTAGTATACGTCACAATCAGGGTTAGGAACTTAGAATCACTGAAAATGTTTTGGGTTGACCTCAAATATGCTAATTATTAAGTTACAAAATCAGACACAAAAACTTACTTCCTCTGAATTAACACACACATACACGCACACACACACACATATATATATATATGTATATATATATATTACATATTTAGATTCTTGATCTTCAAAATATAGGGTAGTGGCAATCTGGACGTTGTGGCCCCAATAGTTTAGACAAGAGAGACACTTTTTGCGTTTTTAGACATATCTTCAAAAATAATTCAGTAATTTCAAAAAATTTGCTCCCACTAATAAAATTAATTTTCCCAAAGATAATTTCATGCTAACAATATTTTTTAATAATTATTTATTATTTTTTAATATTTAATTTAATTGGGTTGAAAAAGATTCAATTATGAGGAATACATTTTTTATACCATATCATTCTACATATTTTTCTATTTTAAAATCTAAAGTTTCAACTGTTTTTATTTAGAAGATGGAAAAAATTTAAATGAATTATTTTCAAAAAAAAAATAATTTGGCAACAATGTAAAAATATTGAAATGTGGTTAACTTATGAGAAACCTTACTTAACGCACACGTAAAATTAAAATTTCATTCATATTTTTTCCCCTGATAGCCGAATATTAATTTTCTTTTTTTTTAATTATGAAATAGGATATTTCTTTTTTGAAAATTTATTCATAATTCATCAAAGGGATTTGAGTGAAACATTATATTCAACGAATGTTGAGTTTTATAAAAATGTGCTTCTGATAGAATGTATACATCTGCTTTTTTTTAAAACTTTATTTTTAGTTGGTTCATTCAATAATTGATACAATTTCAATATCATGCACACATATGTATTGATTTGGAATAATATATTTATCAATTTATTCAATATATATTTTTTAATTATCAAGCAATTACAACTTAAATGAAGATAAAGGTTTTATAAAAAGGTACCGTTATATCTTCCTGAATAAAATTGTAATATCAACAATGATTATGTGAAATTGTGCTTTATATTTCAAATCACTATAAAGAGAATAGAATTACCAAATATGTAGCCACCATTTTCAAATATTTTAAAATTTCTCAAGATGTTATCATCTTAAACGTATTACCATTGAAATTAATTTTTTAATTACATAACCA